CGGCCACCAGTCTAGGAGTCGGTATCTGGCATTCTGACTTTCGACTGGCCTGACTTCTCCTGGTCCTTGTCTTTGACGCTGGCCCTCACCCTCACATTCGCCCCCTTGTGCCATGAGCCTTGTCCGACGCGTTTCTGACCTGGGCTTGCTTTGTCGGGACTCAGAGCTTGCTGGCCCGCTCTTCGCCCTTCGCCCTCGCCGTTAGCTCGCCTCGCTTCGCTTGTCCTTACTGTTATTATTACACTTCAACGCTTGCAAGATTGCATACTGCGTGTGTATCCCTAGGGCAGGGGGCGGTGCTCATCGGGCAAGCTGTCAATATCGGGGCATGATGGAGAGTACATGGTATCTTGTCTTCGCCGGCGCATAGCACAGCCTTTGAGGTATTGACGACGTACCCATTATTGGAATTTGCTTCAATATGACCTGTTCCCTCGGGTTCATCTTGGTCTTCGGCATGTGTCCGCTTAGAATCTCACGGCTCAAGCTGGGGAATGGACATACGGATAGGCATGCTTCAAGTTGGCAAGTGGCTTTTCGCAAACTTCTGGGTAGCAGCTGACTCTCGTCCGCAGCGGAAGGAAGTCGAAGAAGGAACATCGTGTACTCCGGTACGCGCTCTTCCCGCGCTCTATCACCATGCTCCCTTGTACCCAGTACTTGAGGTCCCTTCGCATGTGTCCATCGGCCCTGCAGATTTTGAGGTGCCGCCCAACCACCTCACCAAGAACACTTGCGGGTGCGGGTACCTAGCTAGGTAGGTACTTTGCCTGCCTTAGCGAACTGTGACTGACTCTCGCTTTTTCATGTCACTCGGCCCATTCAGCCCAGCAACGGCTATTCTCGTGAACATCAGTCACAGCCATCCATGATCCATCTCGGAGGTTTCGCGATCCCACATTCCAATCTGCTGCAATTTGCCCGTCCCATCTCGTCCCATTCGGAGGGACACGACGCCCCCAACACCAACACTAACACCCCGACTCCCTGACCGGCCTGCCGACATGCAGTTGCTGTGACCTCTTGCCGTCTCCGTCTCACGCAGCACGAAGTGGAAGTCTCCATCACCACCTCTTCTGTACCTCACTTGGTCATGAATGGAACCAACAACAGTGGGGCAAGCAAGAAGGGAAAAAAAAAAGCCTGTCACCGTGACGCATCAACGGCCGAGACTTTCGATTCGAGACACTTTCCTCTGGTATCCGTACCTTCAAGGTCCTGAGAGCGCATCATCCAAGGCAACCGTTCACGCAGCACACCTGCCCGCCTGCCCATTTACCACCCTCAGTCCACGACGATCGATACCCACGTCGTCAAGTCACGACTCAAGCGCAGACATGCCTGCAGGATCGGGCCTTCAAAGACGATTCCGGTCCGCCATGGACATCATGGGACGACTTTGAAAAGGCTGCTTACTGCGTATCCTCATAGCACCCAAGCATCATGAACCGCCAAACTTACCAGGTGGCGGTCCACAACTGCTATTCCATTCCTGTCTGGAACACACTCATCCATCGCCTCCTTTTGATTCATTGATCGACTCCCTCAGTCCCAGCTTGCACCACCCTGGGTTCAAGCGGGTGCAACCCACGCACGGCAAGGCAAGGCAGCGTAAAGCGACGCAAAGCATCCATCACGTTGAACCGGCGATGGAGATGGGATATGAACAGAAACCCACCAACCAAGACACACTATCGCCGGTGTTGGACGCCTTTGCTAAGTCGCGCACCAAATGCCCCGTCTTGCCCGGGCTTTTGAGTCCCAACGAGATAGCTTGCCGCAATATGCCAGCTATTTGGTCCGTTCTCACTTACCCAACGATCAAGATACTAATTATTAACGCCCATCCTTGGACACGACAACGCCGGCAACACAATCGACTTGCAGTCAGTTCACACCCACACACTAGGCACGGCACCACACACATTTCGAAGGACGAGGCCCCTACGAAGAAAGTCATGTGTGGAGGGATGAGGGATACGTTCAATTTCAGACTTTGTCGCCCGTCTCCGCAGATCGAACTCGACCCGGCCAGGGGGCGTGTGGGCAACACTGCAAACCAACAACCGTCTCTCGAACAAGATCTGTGATCCGCTCTCGTCCGTTCCACCTTCCATCCTCCTGGAGAGCGGCTTGTCATTCCATGACTTCACGCCCCATGGCACACGCCCCTTTTGGCTTCCATCTGGGATGGCTGCAAACAATTAACGTTCCGTTTCGTACCTTGGGCAGCGCAGTGGCCAGCCACGCAAGGTACACCCAGATTACAGATTCGCTGCCTGCGATGAAGACGACGCTAGAATACTCCCCGTTTGGACGCCAAAATCGTGGCCGTCGAGGCACTGCTGGTGCCATGTACTTGGTTCGGTCACTCGCGATTTGCAAACCTCAAGCGGGCTTTGGACGGCTCGGCCATGATCAGCCAGTGTCATTCGACGTACCGACGGAACAGACTCGCGTTATTATGCCTCTACGAAGTGAGGTGGTGGCCAGCAAGCTAAGCAGCATGGGTTGGTTTCTCGATAATTCGTCACACGGGCGTACCGCGGATCCATCTCCGTTCTCTCAAAGTCCCGACTTGGATGGAGTCTGTGCTTTTACGTCTTCCATACTGCCGTATACCAAGGAGAAGAAGGTGTCTTGCGAGTTGCGGTGTTGGATTGCTCTGGCTTTCCATGTGGAGGTGAAAGGGGGAAATGGTCATTGTCTCGCCTACCAGACCAATGCCGGGTGGCTAGTGTCGAATTCAGGACGCGCATGCAGCCGTCGACAAATTGCCAGGTCCTCTTTTCAGTGCAAGAGACTGAGGGACAGGGACAGTCTCAATCACAGCCCGGGTGGTGATGAATGTACGAATAGACGAGCATTCGTACGCCGGCCGGCGGTGGGTGGCACTTTGGAGGAAACCACCAAAACATGCAAGGCAAGATGCACATCCCCATCTGTTAGCGCTAGGGGGAGGCTCGAGGAGAAGGAGACGGCGACGGGCATGGAGGGATGACGGTCATGGATCCTTGGTCCCAAGAGCGGGTGTCTTTGCTGGGGTGCCTTAGATCCCCAGCGGCTTCATACGACGACGCCCCCTCCCGTCTGACCCGTCAGTTCAAACTAAGCTAGCCGGATGGTTTGGAGCTCGAGGGAGGCCAACGACTGGCTGGAATTGGACGGGACCTCGTCGGGTCATGAAGGCGACGAAGGTAACGACGCCCCTTTGGGTAGGAAAAGCACCAGGGACGTTCCCCATAGACCCTTTCTGACTTGTAGCCCCTGGCCTGTCTATGGCGCATCTGCTGCGCTGTTGCACGAGACGCAAGCAGGGATGGAAGCATCTCCAGACCCCAAGTTGGCGGCGTGAGCGCCTGGGCCGAGCGGTTCTTTGGGTCAGAGACATTCCATCCATGTTCTTTCCATTTTCCTTTCCTTTCCTTGCCTTGGTGTGGTTGACCGCCCGCTGTCCCTGTATTCGTGCGTGCCCATCGTGAAGGGACGTACTCCGTACCTCCGTACCTCCGTACCGACACAGGTGTTGACCCACTAATCTTTTTTTGCTGCGTATTTTTTCTTTTTCTTTCCTGACCATACCGCCATGGCACAGCAGCACTGTAGCACATATCCTGCTTGGGTTAGGTACCTTGGCTGGGAATGGCACCTGCGACCCGTTCATGGGAGAAACGGGACACGGGCAGGACACACACACACACGGCATGGAACTGGCACTGTAACCTGGTATGCTCCACAGTCTATAGACAGGTACCTCAGGTAGGTGCCATGGCAAATCACCACCGCCGCCGACGGCCGGACCGCCTTCCATCCCTCTCTCCCGTCCATGGTCCATAGTCCATGGTCCATGATCCACGCATTTCTCATCCATCCACCATCACCATCGAGTCTGCTGCACCGCACCGCACCACGTACCACGCACCAAAGCAATCAACCCTGGGCTCCCACACCCACCGCATACCGCATACCGCATCACCGCCGCTTGCTCACTTGCTCACTCACTCACGCACACCAGCGCTATCGACAAGTCCGTCCCATTCCTCCCATGCATTTCCCCTTCTGTGGGCCCGCTCCCCCTCCCTGTGGCCGGGCCTGTCCTGTACCTTACTCCGTAGTCATACTCCATTGTTCGGTGTTCGATGTTCAATGTCTGGTGTCCAATGTTCCGCCCCCCGACCTTGCATCGAAAAGGAATCAGCCGCCTCGTCTCTCCTTCGACTCCGACATCCACCACGCATGCTCCTCCGCCGTCGTGAGATCCCTGTCCAACCCATATGACGCAGCCCGCTTGCTCGATGGCTTGCTGGCCGCCCCTCCGACACGGCACCTACCATACTAAGAAACTGAGGTACTTCGCTACACCCAGACATCGCACCCAAAAAGGGACGGAAACAGTACGTACCTCCCCTGCCCAGCCACGCCGCCTGGGACACCACTCTGCACTCTGCACTGCGCGGATACCTCCCATCAACATCCCATCCATGATCCATCCCCATGCGTGCAACCCGCACTTGGTGGCCGCCGCCGCCTGTTGGCCCTGGTCCTGGTCCTGGTCCTGGTCCTAGTGCTGGTGCTGGTGCTGGCCCCCTCGTACGAATACTTCCACACATGCCAAACCGTTCATGGTCTTAATTACTGTTGTCTTTTTTCTTGGCCCACTCCGTACCCATGGCATGGTGCGCAGGCGTACGCGGTAAGGTAGTTGCTCCTCCGCTGGACTGGAGCTAAGGTTTGATTCTATCCTTCAAGACCAATCTAGTATCACCCATGTTCTTACTGCTCCCTTGAGACCCTGGAAGAGTAAGGCTTCTTTCTTCACTACATCTACTTCCCTTCTCTTCATACATAGTCCCGTCTAAGCCCTTCTTTTTCCATGTCGGTTATATCACCATCAACAGCCGCAACCTCTTCTCTACAACTCTCATCATCAACCATCACACACAACAAACTGTTTACTACACTCTTCAATACGGAACGCCTACCCGCACACCATCAACAATATGATGCCCGCACTCATGGGAGGTGCTCTCCCGGGCCTTGCTCCCACCACCGCCACCTATCCTGCAGATACCTTTTTCGACGACTTGTCTAGACAGATGGCTCTTTCCCAGGCGTCAAGAAGGCTTTCGAGAGGATCTAACGGACAACGAACTGGAACTGCCATGCGCGTCGTGAAGCCCACCAGCGCCAACAACAGCCCGAGGTCATCATCGTCGGTGCAGGCCAGGAGGAGGACTCTGATGAACGACGGCAATCTGGCGAGGCGGAGGCAGCAGGTCATGGATCACGTTCAGATGCCCGAGTACAACTCGCAACAGCAACCCAGGCCTAGCCGCCCCCTCAGCTGGCACCCATCTACCTTCCAGCAGCAACAACACAAGCTGCCTGTCCAGCAACACGAGGCGCAATACCCGTTTCCCTCAACCTCGTCGGCATACCACGACAACGACAGCTACTCGGCCTACAGCCAGTTCCCGCCTACTCCTGCTGCGTACTCCTGCAACACATCACCTACTGCACACTTCTCACCCCTCTCTCTACCCTTTGGTGCCTACGGCGGATCTTCCTACCTGCCCGTCGAGGGCTGGAACGTCCCTCAGCAAGTCCCGCCGGCGTATGTCACCTCGTCTGACCACTACGCGGAGCCCTTCCCGGCTCTTCCCACTACTCTGCCGGACCTCACGCCTTCTTCCACTTCCACGTCTTGGAACTCGTACCCCATGAACGGCTTCACCAGCACGTCTCCGCCTACGCCTGAGACTCTGCCCCAGGCTCAACAGCCGCAACCCATTGTCGCCAATGAGGACAGCATCCCCTACCAGCCTCTTGACGAGCCTGAGGAGGAGGGCGAGATCCTCGTCGGCATGGGATTGTACGATGCCCCGGAGAAGTACGACAACGATGCCCGCTCTGGCATGTCCTCTCTGTTGGGCGCCACCTACCGCCCCCGGGAGGGTACCGGCAAGGGCCTCAAGTTGGAGGAGTCATGGCAGCCTCCTGAGGAGAGCGACGACGACGACGAGGACCAGGAAGACGCCGATGGCGAGGACTCGGATTAATGAACCAACACAAAACGACACGGATTTTCACGGATGAACATTCAGCGCAAGCGATTATGATTCAACGACGACACCTGTACACCATGTATTATGATATGTATCACCAACACAAAAGGCGGATTTGGGGCGGCCGTCTCTGAAATGAAGCGTCCATCATGGGCAGCTTTGGAGACTTGGAGGAAAAGACAAAAAGAGGCAAATACCCCTTTCGGAAAGGACGCAAGTGCACAAGATGCCTTGCGTCGGGAAGAAATCAGTCAGCAGACGCTGCTCCAGATAGATGTAATAACAAACCGCGCTCTGCGCAAACTACCAGTACCTTCAAGTCTACAACCTAAATCCCGGTGACGGATCACAGCAACGAGATTTCCCTCAAGTACGGAGGAGGCGCCGGATCGAAGTTCAATCGTCAACGCGGACGCTAAAAATAAGCGAGAAAGAGCCTCCCGAAAAGGACCCCTGTCGAGCATGGCATGAGCTGCATTGTGGGTCCATGCTTCCCTGTCACATTCGGTCAACTGGCCAATCCCGTGAGATGTGGATCCCCGCCCCCGCCGTTCTGGCCAGCCCTGCCAGGTCGCGAAACACCCCGCCGTGGCCCCTGAAAAATACCGATGTTGTGACCTCACCGGCACCCCCAGCCTCCCTCCAGCGGACGTCCCCTCAGTGGACAACTTCCATTTGCTGCACTGCGTGTGGTTGCGCTGTTCAGTGTTCTCTCGCAACGTTGGGAAGGGGGGGCAACGAGGGGAAACGGCCGTTATCGGCCTTTACCCCACCATGGACACACTTTGGAAATTTTCGAGCACACGAATCACGACAGCAAGAGAGTGCTCCAGTGTTGCAATTGATCTGGTTTTGTTTGGCTGCCATATTTCCCCTCATCCGTGGAAAGCGGCTTTTGATTCACACACCACATCGACTTTGCATCGACCACGGTACAAATCACCAAAAGACATACAAACCAATTCAAGATGGCATCCCAGTACGACCAACCCGGTGTGCACCTTTTTCGTGTGTGAGAGAGCGAGACAGGAGAGAGGACTACCCCGCGCTAATATTAAATTGCCATGGTAGGAGCGTGTTGATGCTCGGTGCGGGTTTCGTGACCCGGCCGACGCTGGACATCTTGAGCGAGGCCGGCATTCCCGTGACCGTTGGTAAGCATCTCTGTTCTCGTCACGCCCGGAGACCACCCCGTTACGCATTCCCCTCGTGTGTGGCTGGACGGCTGAGAGCTGACTGTCTCGAACCATCGCAGCTTGCAGAACCCTCGAGTCCGCAAAGAAGCTGTCCGCCGGTGTCAAGCACGCCACTCCCATCTCCCTCGATGTCACCGACGACAAGGCTCTCGACGCCGAGGTGGCCAAGCACGACCTGGTCATCAGCTTGATCCCCTACACCTTCCACGCGACCGTCATCAAGTCGGCCATCCGCCAGAAGAAGCACGTCGTCACCACCAGCTATGTCTCCCCCGCCATGATGGAGCTTGACCAGCAGGCCAAGGACGCTGGCATCACCGTCATGAACGAGATCGGTCTGGACCCTGGGTGAGTCTACGATATCCGCAGACCGGCAAAGAAGAAAAGACGCTGACAATCCGGAGAATCGACCACCTGTACGCCGTCAAGACCATCGAAGAGGTCCACGCCGAGGGAGGCAAGATCGTCTCTTTCCTGTCCTACTGCGGTGGTCTCCCCGCCCCCGAGGCGTCTGACAACCCGCTCGGCTACAAGTTCTCCTGGTCCTCCCGCGGTGTCCTGCTGGCGCTGCGTAACGCGGCCAAGTACTACAAGGACGGCAAGGTCGTCGACGTCGCCTCCAAGGACCTCATGGCTACCGCCAAGCCCTACTACATCTATCCCGGCTACGCCTTCGTCGCCTACCCCAACCGCGACTCGACTCCCTACAAGGAGCGCTACAACATCCCCGAGGCCGAGACCATCGTCCGCGGCACTCTCCGCTACCAGGGCTTCCCTCAGTTCATCAAGGTCCTCGTCGACATCGGCTTCCTCGACGACACGGCCCAGCAGACTCTCTCCGGTGCCATCCCCTGGAAGGAGGCCACCAAGGCCGTCGTCGGCGCTTCGTCGTCGAGCCAGAGCGACCTCGAGGCCGCCATCCTCTCCAAGGCGACCTTCGAGTCCCCCGAGGAGAAGCAGAGGATCCTCAGCGGTCTCCGCTGGATCGGCGTCTTCTCGGACGAGCAGATCATCCCCCGCGGCAACCCCCTCGACACGCTCTGCGCGACGCTCGAGAAGAAGATGCAGTTCGAGGAGGGCGAGCGCGACATGGTCATGCTCCAGCACAAGTTCGAGATCGAGCACAAGAGCGGCGCCCGTGAGACCCGGACGTCCACCCTCGTCGAGTACGGCGACCCCAAGGGCTACTCCGCCATGGCCAAGCTGGTCGGTGTTCCCTGCGGTGTCGCCGTCCAGCAGGTGCTCAACGGCACCATCTCGGAGAAGGGCGTCCTGGCGCCCATGAACTCCAAGATCAACGACCCCTTGATCAAGGAGCTCAAGGACAAGTACGGCATCTACCTCGTCGAGAAGACCCTGTCTTAGAGTGTGTTTTGCGTAGCGTGAGGTGACATGACTGCGACGGGTCTGGGCCGCCGGATCGGGTGCCGACCGGGGCCGGGCCGTCCGTCGGGAGGAAAGATTTCACGACGGCGGCCACTTTTGACGAGAATTCAAAAAACAGATAAAAAAGTTTAGACCTCTCTCTCTCATGGGAAATAGAGAAAACCGCATTGACGTGTCCACGATTCCGACTGATCTCAAGTCATGCTGTGAGCCCGAACATCGCGTGACCCCTGCGCCTGAGAGCCTGTGGACGTACAGCTACAGAGTACAGGTAGTTGGAGAGAATTCATCTCACCTCCTGGCTTGGAAGCGGGCGTAGGACATTCAGATCAGAGACATCAGCGCCAAGCATAAAGGGAGCCACGATACACAAGGGAAATCAAATCGAATCGGCGGAGAAGGTTCCGGGAATGTGTGCAAAACTCGTCCGATGTGTATTACCCAGGCCGTGGAATGATATTGCCCCCTGAGTTACCTCACTTTGATGCCTGTGTCTGTCTGTCTGTCTGTCCGTCCGTGGGCGTGGTGGCGCTTGCATGTCCAAGTTTGTCCGGCTGGCGGTGTGAATGTGCTAATCGGGGAATTTTTGCAGCGAATTTTTTGTTCTCTGAACCTTTTTTCCCCCTACACATTTCTCCATCCCGACCTGACTTTTCAACGTACCCCCGGCGGACCTAGCACAGGGGAGCGAGAGACCAACCGCAACCACAGAAAACCCAACGCAAACACCCCCGGAAGCTCGCTCGCTCGCTCGTTACCGCGGACCTACTCGTACAACTCATCTGAAGGGGGGAAAGAAACGTCTCAAGCCTCTGAAAGCCAGCCAGGCACCAAACGAACGAACGAGAGGTGACCTTTCCGGACCCGGCTCTGAAACACTGGGAACACCGGGCCTGCGGCTGAATTGCTGCTGCATTTCAGCATTTCCCACGACTCGTCGGGTGCCTAGAGACACAGCGCAGCAGGCGGCAGAAGCAGCATGGTTCAGTACATCCTGACGCCGTGGCGCGATCGCCGTGAGCTGCTCAAAGTTCGCCAACAGTTCTACCCAGCTGCGACGCCCACCACCAGCACAACGACAACCGCTACGGCTGCTGCACCGCTACCGGCACCCGGACCCAGACCGTCGGCATCGAACCACATCGCAGCCACAACGAGCACTGCGACTACTACCAGCAGCAGCAGCAGCACCAACGCTAGGCTCAACGATGGCCGTCATTCTTCGTCTTCATCTGCCACCGCCGCCGCGCTGGGAAACCAGCACCACGCCGTCGCCAGAGTGTCCATGTGGATGCAGCGCGGGAACTGCCCGCACATGGTCGAGTCGACGGCGCTGCTGACGGCCGCGATCCTCAGCGACGGGGAGGGCTCGGGCAGCGCTGCCACCTACGCCGTCCGCGCGGCGTATGCGGCCGCATTTAGTCGGTACGTTTTTTCTTGGGTCTTTTTTTCTTGTCCTAAAGTCTATTGCCTTCATTACTCCTAGCTTTTATCAATGAACCCCGCCGAAGCATGAAACAACCTGGAAGTTATTGGTGGTTCCTTTGGCTTCTCCTTTCCCACCCTGTTCCTTTCCCAACCCAACCCAAGGACCTGGACACCTACCCACCCGTCGTTGACTGGCGTCTTATTTTGGCTTTCGGGTATTTGGTGATTTTTTTTACCTTTCTTGTCTTCGCGGGCGGGATTGTCACTCGCTTTCCCGCTCCTCGTATTCACACGCCCTTCTTACACGCTTTTTCGTCTTGGCAAAATGACGGACGCCCTCTTCTTTTGGCTTCAGCCCCTCCTCCTCAGACTTCAACGAGAGACGAGACCTGGGCCGGTCTGTCCTGTCCGGTCCGTCTGATGAAGGAAGCTCAGTTTGTGGGATCGCCCGATCTACGAGAGACAGCGCCATTACTCTTCCCAGTCACTTACACGAGCGCCCGCTGCCTGCCAGCCAGCCAGCCCGCCCGTCTTCCTGGGTTTCCGTTCAGACAGAGACACGCCCCCCCTCAGGTTCTCCTGAGCATAGCACGTCCCCGGGTTGGCTCTGTCTGGTCGCAAGTGTGACTTGACGCTACGGCTGACATGACGTTCCTGAGCCCGGCGAGATTCATTTTCTTCCCTTGGAAGCTGTAATCGGCCGCAGATCTTCGTACGAGGACCATTCCGCAAGGTCCTCCGCCCCTGGACTGCAAGACGATGGACCGGCCCTTGTCTCGTCTAGACTGTCCGGAACCCAGTTCCGTCCCTAGACCTCTGCGACAAGCCTGATGTCAATCACTTGCCTCTCCAGCGCTTTGCTCATTGTGGTGTCGTTCGCGTGTGTCTATGCTGTTGCTCACTCCTCGCCCCGTTTTTAGGTTCGTGACCGGCCTCCTGGACGGACACCAGGACAAGCAGCGGAAGCTGAGCATGTACTCGGTGGCCAAGACCATCGGGCTGCCCGCGACTTTCGTGGAGCTGCGGCACCAGGCCACCCACGAGCAGCTGCCCTCGCTCGCGAAGCTGCGTTCCTCGGCGAGGAAGGCGCTGGCGTGGATCTGGGAGTACTACTGGCGGCACCTCGGGGCGGACGAGGACGAGGAGGTCGTCATCGTGGGCGAGGCCGCCGCGCCGGGGTACCGCGAGATGGTGACGGCGTATCTGGACGAGGCCGAGGGGTCCAGGAAGGCCGAGAGGCGGAGGTTGCTGGACAGGCTCGACGAGAAGCAGGTGCTCCTGGCGCTCTCGCTGATTATGGAGGCGCCGGCGAGCAACGCGGTCTTGTTGGGGGCTCTGAAGCTTTCGAGGGAGATTCTGGGCACGGGGCAAGGGGAAGAGTCTGGAGAGTTGGATCTGGAGAGGGATGTGGAACGGGTACGGGCGGAGATCTCGCGGTCGCGGGATGCGTTGATGTCGGACGCGAAGGAAGATGATAAGTCTTCCGGTGATGCCCTTCCTGAGGATTCTCACGGAGGTGGCGGGACCGGGTGGGCGAAGTACGAAGGGACTTGGAAGCCGCGGCCCATCGGCGTTGCGTGAATGCTGCCCACGACACCGTTTATCGAAATCTCGACATTTGATACCACCACGACCTGCTAGATCATCCTTTTTGACGATTCTGATGTTGAAAATGCACGTAGAACGGCGATTGATGCCGGATCACGTGGGTATGACGATGAAAGTGGACAGGGTACCGACAGTGCTGCCCCTCTCCAGATTTGTAATAACGTCACCGTGACTTGCCGGGAACCGGTCTTCCCAATTGCGTCAAACCGCCGGGCCAACCGCATCGCAACACCATAACACATAGCATATCGCCTTTCATGAATCCCCTCATCTCAAGGAGGCCTATACTGAGACAGAAACTCGCCACCGTAACCGCAGCCGTGAGTTTTTCTTGCTTTCTCGACGGGGATGGTGAAGTGGGAGGCTGGAGCTTGGCTGACATGTATATCGCAGCTTACGTTCGCCAACGCTATGCATATCCAGTCGATTCCCATGTGTACGTCGCGGGACTACCTAAACGGGGGCGCAGCTTGATCGAGTGATTGAAGCTGTGTGCGTGTGTATGCGTTATTGTGCGAGTTCTTCTGTTTTCTAATTCGTGATCGGGGATTCGTGTAGGGGTGGGCAGTAGCAACAACTACGCCTACCTGGTCAAGGACGACAAGAGCAACGACGCCGTCATCATCGACCCGGCCAACCCGCCCGAGTGAGTTTTGAGAAATCCGACTTCAGAGAGGAAGCACCTGTGAAATGGCGTTGGAAGGGTGTCAAGCTGAACCGGAGATTAACGCAGAGTCACCCCCGTGCTGAAGAAGGCCATCGACGGCGGCGAGATCAACTTGACCGCCATCGTGAACACGCACCAGTGAGTCCCCCCACCCCCGTCCGCGCGAGAGAATCACCCGACTTACATTGTGAACAGCCACTGGGACCACGCGGGCGGAAACAAGAAGCTGGTGAGATTGCCATGCCTTACATGCCGGAGAGACTCGGGTCCAGGCGGTCGTTGTACCGAGAAGAAGAAGAGGGCTGACGAGAAATCAACAAAAAGCTCAACGAGCTCGGCCTGCCGAAGCTGACCATCTTCGGCGGCAAGGACTGCGAGGGCGTGACCAAGACGCCCGGGGACGGCGAGTCGTTCAAGATCGGCAGCATCGCCGTCAAGGCGCTGTACACGCCGTGCCACACGCAGGACAGCATCTGCTGGTTCATGCAGGACGGGGAGCAGAAGGTCGTGTTCACGGGGGATACGCTCTTCCACAGCGGTGTGTTTGCACTTTTGTCTTCTCTATTTTGTCGTTCTCTGTTCTCCTATTTGAAACTCCGAGGGAAGATTCCACGATGAGGATTGCTGATGGGGTTTGATACCAAGGCTGCGGTAAGTTCTTCGAGGGCACCGCCGAGGAGATGCACAAGGCGCTCAATAAGACCTTGGCCGCTTTACCTGATGACACGGTCGTTTTCGTGAGTTTTTCTCGAGGGCCGAGGGCCTTCTTCACCCGTTCTCATGGGTAGGATTGACTAGAAGACAGCCCGGGCACGAGTACACCAAGTCGAACGTCAAGTTCGCCGCGTCGGTGCTGCAGAACGAGGCCATCCTGAAGCTGCAGAAGTTCGCGGAGAACAACAAGGAGACGCAGGGCAAGTTCACGATCGGTGACGAGAAGGTAGGATGATGACGCCCGTTGTGACCTTGACGCGGTTGGCTGATTTGACGGGTTTGTAGAAACACAACGTCTTTATGAGAGTTGATGTGAGTTATTAACCAACCTCACCCCCAAGAGAAGAACCCGGAGACGCGATGCTGACGAAGAACGACGATTAGGACCCCGAAATCCTCAAGGTCACGGGCGAGCAGGAGCCCGTCGCCGTCATGGCCAAGCTCCGCGAGATGAAGAACAACTTCAAGTGAGTAAGTGGCATGTTCTCGCGGTGTCCCGTGGCTAGGTAGCGTTTGTCTGTCCGCGGCTTTGTGACGAATCGCAACTGACGCGCGCAGTCCACCACCCGAGTCGAAGATGTGAATAGGCGCGGCGGATGGAGTCTGGAGTTGAGGGGCGGTAGTTGTAGGAGATACCGGGCCTTTAAAAAGTGTGAACAGTTCAGAGGTATCCCCGTGAGACTTGCTCACGATGGGCAGTAATACATAACAAAACTTCACCACGCGTCAGAGTCCGAGCAGTCACGCATGAATCACACATCCAAGTCATGATATGTCTCCCCAAAAGCCCAAAGCGCCCGACGATCAAAGTCGATCGAGCGAACTATCGTAGCCCGGGGAAGAGACGGTTCGTCCTGCGACCGCCCCCGTTTGTTCAATCTTGCTTCACTGTCCACACGTGCTCGCTCTGGTAAATGAAAGCGGCAAGCTCTAGCATTTTTAGAAGCTGGTTTTTGTTTTGTCTCTCATCTCTTCCGGTTCTCTCCTCAGACACATCCTCACTGTCGCATTCCACTGTTACTAACGATGGAGTGTGAGTGAGGATGGAATGGGGGAGGTCGGCATCCCGTTACGAATGGTCGACCTCGCGGCGTGGATGCATTTTCAGTCCACTTATCCACCGCAGAAAATCGGAAAAGAGAAAGAGGAGATGGAGAGGATCTCCGTGAGATGCCGTCTAGGCAGATGAGCAACTGGATGATATCCGAGCTGCGCCGCGTCCTGTTCGGAGGGCGATGAGATGGCAGCTGCGTCTAGCAGCGCGCGTGAGATCATTTGCCTGCTAGGCAATGATTGTATGTGATGAGCCTTTGGAAGGCGAGAAAGAGAGGCGGGTGTGCCTGTGGAAGGCGACCTTCGCGAGGTTGATGGCCTTGAAGGATGAAGATGAAGAAGTTTAGCAGAGTTGCAGAGAATTTTATATGAACCCCGTTCTGGGCGGGGCGGCCGGCCACAATACGGTGTAAATTCGTGGCCAGCACGTGGCATTGCGCACTGTACCGCTCCCAGCCGCGGCAAGACCAATTAACGCGTCTCGTAGACGGTCCCGGCGCATCCATCGTCATCGCCAACCTCTCGTCCATTATCGTCAGTCCTCCGCGACAACATCCACCCGCGAAACCGCTGCACTGCACCGTCAACACACACAATACAATATACACTTTGCGAAAACCGCGCGAAGACGCACGAAGAATCAATTCCATAATGGTAACTCCCTCTTTAACCCTCCGCAACCCGAAACCAACCCTAACCACCAAACCCAGCCCGCAAAGCGCAAACCACCCGCCGCCTCCTCGACGTCCCACGACCCCCCTCGCCCGCGCGCCTCGAAGCTCGCAAAGGAACACAACATCTCGGCCCACGAGGAGCGCGAGATCCGCGAGGCCTTCTCGCTCTTCGCGGAGCCGGTCCGCGGCGGGCCCAAGGAGGGGGTGATGCCGACGTCCGACGTGCGGTCGGCGCTCGTGGCGCTGGGGATCCCGCCGTCGTCGCGCGCCGAGCAGGCCGAGTTCGTGGAGATCCTGGACCCGGAGGGCGAGGGCTTCGTCGAGTACGAGCCCTTCTTCGCCGTGTGCGCGTTGAAATACCACCAGCGCGAGAGCAGCGCCGGCGGGGAGGAGAGGCGGCGCGAGGTCGACGAGGCGTTTCGGCTGTTCACGGGCGACGGCGGGAGGGGGATGATCACGATGGCGGATCTGAAGAGGGTTGCCGGGGTGCTGAGGGAGGATGTCAAGGAGGAGGTGTTGCGGGATATGATTCTTGAGGCGAACGGCGGCGCCGGGGTCGGGAGGGGGGTCAAGAGGGAGGAGTTTGAAGAGGTTATGCGCCGGGCTGGGGTCTGGCGGTGAGGGAAAGGGAGAGCGGTAGTATTGTTTGTTGGCATTATACCCATGGTGTTTACGGCGTTTAAAGGGGTGGTTTGGCGAGGCGAAGTCGATTTTCTCTGCGAAAGGTGAAAACCTAGAAATGATGATGGATCTTCTTCAGCAACTTTGGAATACTGGAGCAGCAGCATTAGCAAGTGGCATACGACTACGCAATTGGTTGGTTTTGGTGCCTGTTCAAGAGACGTAACGGCGTGGAAACGGCAACACAATTTAGAGCGCTTGTTCTACTATCCTCGAAACATGCAACATCACTTGTGGTAGGGGATTGTCATGTCTCAACCCCACAGAGCTTCACCAAGTTGAATACCGGTCATAATAAAGATTCTATCTGAACTCAGTGCAGCCGATATGGTCTTGGGTCGGGTGTATTGTTCACCCCCCTGAGTGATTCCAATGCTCAAATAAACGCCCTTGAAATATGCATATTCCGGCCTTTCCCTTGGCGTTGCCATGTTTATTGGGCGTGTTTGCATTCGCCACGGCCACCAGACGTTGGAGATACGGACTATTACATCCTATTCTTTATCCCAAAGTCAAATACAAAACCCTCCCGTGTATGTGAGATGCTGAGCGAGGAGAGGCAGACCGATGTTTTTCCCGTCCGCAGCTTCTGTGCTGGACAGTTTCCTTTTGTGCAAGAATAGAACGAAAAATCGAAAGAGAAAAAGGCGTAAGACATGAGTGGCGGTCTCTGCCCGCTCAGAACGGGGCAGAGCGCGGGCCGGGACCGACGTTCTAAGCCGCCGCGTCCGCAGCCACCTTGGCGGCCTTCTCCTTCTCGGCGGCCGCTTTTTGCGAGTCGATGACGGCCTGCAGCTCGGGGGGAGCCTTGAAGCCCTGGTGGTCCTGGTGGCGCTTGTAGAAGTAGTTGTCGGACTTGGGGCGGAGCTCGGCGGGAAGCTCCTCGAGGACGCACTCGAGGATGGCGTCGATGGACTTTTGCTTGGAGCCGTCGCGGTGCCAGATGGAGATGAGGTGGGAGTTGAAGCGGACCGAGAGGCCTACGCCGCAGATCTGGTCGTCTTTGTGGTGTGTCAGCATTTCGTGTATCCCAGCATGTGAAGATAAGGCGAGGGGGACTCACTGTCGTCCAGGACGCTCTGCAGCTTCTCGCCGATGGCAAGCAGCTGCACGCGGGTCCAGACATCGGGGCCAATGTTCTTGGGGACGCGGAAAGTCCAGGCGCCGCCGTTGATATTGCGGCGGTCCTCCCAGATGGGCTTGAAGCCCTGCTTGAACAGGTAGATGGACTCGCGCATCTTGATCTGGTCGACGGGGGTGTTGTTGTTGTACTTCCAGAAATCCTGGACCGACTCGATCTGGGAGCCGAGCTGCTCCAGCTGCACCTTGTACTCCTCGTCATTGCTCGCCTTCTGGTCCTTGGCTTGCCTGCGGGTAGAGAAGGTCAGTCAGGTAATCCTTTCACAAGATCAGGGGTCGGCGGGGAGCTCGATGCGCCGGGCGTGCTTTGGAGACTGAGGGGTCACTCACTTGTCAAAGTAGACGTTCCAGTAGTGTTGTGTCGGCAACGGGCGCATGGCCTTGAGGAAGTTGCGCTTCGCATCGTCTCGCTGGTCGGCCGGGGAGCTGACGCTGGGCGAGTTGGGGTCGGTGGTGGTGCTCTGGGACAGACCCGAGAGGCCACGGGTGAAGAGCGCGGGTCTGGCAGCCATGGTCGCAGTCGTTCGTTCGTGTATGGTAAAGAGAGACAGGAGGTATTACCACGGGCGAGTAGAGGTGAGAAGAACGAAATGTCGGGCTCACGATCTTATCCGGTCGTACGTTTGGCTGCGGCGGTACAAGATCGGGGTCGGGTAGACGTGGCCGAGAGAGGGACTCTAGACTGGAGCTGGTTGCTTGTCTTGCTCTTCCGTTCGTTGGCTCGGTGGAATGCGGCAGGGCCTAATGTAGCAACGAGGGGCAGAAGTGGGCAGCCCCCGTGTGTGGCTCTTAGTGGAGGGACTGGGGTTGTTGCTGTCGTTGCTGGCGGCGTTGTTGGTGCCGATTGACGATTGGTGTTGCGCCCCGGTTGGAGAGAGGCGTCTTGGGCTGTTCAGATTACGCCAATGAACAGAGACCGGTTTTGTGGTTGGTTTGGCGGTAGAGGGGCGGCGATCCCGGAGCTGAGTAACAAGCAGTCGATGGCGGGGGGAGGTATCAATTGTCCTGGGTGACCGACAAGATGTCCTCGAGTTGCAGCTATTGGCGCTCTGTGTTCCTCCAATGTTGTTTTGGACTCAAGTCAATTCGGGTACGGGACGAGATTAGAACAAAACCGTAAATCGTCGGGCCCCTACACAAGGACGTGTTCGGCGAATAAGGGTTCAAGGCAACAATGGCGGCGGCAGCAAACAACCAGTTTCCTGCAATTCTCGAATGACTCGACAGACGGATCTAGGGATGTAGGTGACGAAGAGGAGGGAGCAAACGACAAGGCGGCGACCGAGGGAGAGGCGGTAGAGAGAAAAAGAAAAGAAGTTGAGAGAGTAGGTGGTAAGGTTGGGGATAATAAGTATCACCAAGCATCTCACACTCTCTCACATCGTGACCGTCCCGGTCATCCTTTCTTGTGCTTGCCTCCGAAGTCCAGGTACATCACAAAGGAAACAGCAACCTCAGTGTGACACGACAAAACACGACATACGGTTCAAGGACACAAGTACCTCAGGCTGGCCTTAGCTTAGCTCCCATGTACCATACCAAACCTCTCCTCTCCTCGGGAGTACAGACTACAGAGTACTGTACTTCAAAAGGGGAGGTTTGTCTGGAGATTAGACAGGGAGCATCGGAATCCGGTCGAGAGTCCTCTGATCTGAGGTCTGAAGCGCAACAGAGCAGGGAACCTTGCAGTTAATTGGCGAGTGACACCCGGAAGGGCAAGTTGAGGGACCGGGTCTGAGGACCGGCAGAACCTGGCTTCGTCTCTTCCACCGTGATACCGTCCGTAACTTGGGATACCACAGGCGACGAATAGGGGCCTCGCAGACGCGACTCTCGCCGCGAGTTGTCGGCCGTTACTGCCGTTGAACAGCGTAAGTGGCAGCAGCTGGATGACGGTGCCAGCGCCATACGGTCTTAGGTCTTGGAGGCGTCAACTTGTCCTAACTGCGTGCTAATACGTTCCGCGGCCGTCCCATATTCCTGGTTTTGGAACGCCGCTTGGAAACTCGATTTATTGATGTTGCAAACCGATTTAAACGCTACAGCGAGCCAATTGAGTGCTACTAGAAGCGGCGACGACGGCGAGCAACGGCGACGCTTCCTTCAGTACAGCACTGTACTGCGGTATCTCACTTAGCAGACGGAGGAAGACGACGCCGCAAGACAAAGATACAGGGCCGGCAAGGGCAGACAGAAGCTTGGTGGGAACATCTTACCGGCCTGAAACATCGAGCCGTCTTTGCGACCAGTAATAAGATGTTGCGACGAGGGGGGACGGGATTGTGAGTGGGAGCAAAGACCGGATGTTCAGAGATTCGAGAAGGTTGTTCGGCATGGGGCTTGGACAACCATCCACTTACACCACGGGACAGATCGCACGGAATCGCATGCCTACGACCGCTGCGTTTTAGGGGGAGAAGCGAAGCGTAAGCAAGTACAGATGGATACAGGGACAGGGACATGGGGGAAGGCATGTGCCGTGCCGTGGAAACGCAGGGTTCTGACCTCGACGCCGGGAACATGAGTCCTGAGTTAAAGCGTAGCGAATGATACGGATGGCGGGTTCCATAACGTGGACTGCAAGACACGGGGGAGAGTTGAGTTGCCGGTTCCCAAATGGTTGTGATATCGAATTAAGGAGCAGTTGCTAAGGTATGATGTGCGCGAGAGAGCCAGAGCCTCATTGTATGAACTGCCAATTCATCGCCTTTTTCAAACTTCAGGGTCTCTGGGCAGTTGCAGATTCGCAGTTGTCAGCACTTGGCACTCAGGTACGGATACCTCAAACACATTGACTTTCGACGTTGGATCAATTGAGTTAAAGGAACACAAACCCGGCCCTCGGAGAGTCCTGTGATCTCGAAGGGAAACCAAAAGCATCCGGCAACATTCTCCGGCCTAACTCTGCCGGCAGCGAGAATAAAGCGCATTCCGTCCATCGAGAACTCCCCCCCACTGCCGTACATACTCAGGCACGAAATCCTAACTTGAGATGAATCTCAGGGGCCAGATCGACCTTTCATTTTGCCTTTCGACCACACGAGAATGGAGGAGGGCATGATGTGCGTTGCAGCAAGTTCTCCCGGTCCCATCGACGGCCCTCGTCATCGTCGCCTGGGGTACCTAGTCGAATTACCTGCTCTCCAATTGGATCCCATTGCCAAACCGTCTCACACACGTACCGCACTTAACTCTGGATTGCCTCGGCGGCGAGGAGAAGCGACGGCCAACAATCCAACGACCGAAAGACATACAAAGATCCACGGCCCTGCATCCATTGGTACTGGCTGTCGCAGATGACGATTTTGACAGACAGATCATGGATCTCGCCTCCGTGCTCTCATGGCACCCGGCACGTCATGACACGAACTTGAACGTTTCCAACTGCAACGCCCTGGGAAACGATGGAAGTCCTCATCTGTTGGTCGAAACTCTCAATATTGGCTCCGTCCAATCTACTTCGCCTCAACGATTTGACGAGCCTCTGAATACCCCTCCGAGCTCCAATTCTCGATTCTGCTCACTTCGCGGACCTTACCCGTGACCACGTTCTACCTCAAAGTTCCGACCCACAGCCGTTGCAAAAAGACAGAACACGTTCAAACCAGAAACCCCATCACAGAGTTCGAGACAAACAACCTCGACCGTCATCGTCTCTTCCGGAATCCCTCATCCCTGCCCCGAGCAAACCACCCGACCCAGCCCTAACAGCGGGATCCCTTCCAGAGCCTCTCCCGTCCCGTCCACCTCTCCTGGTAAAACCGTACCTGAAGCCGCGCCGGGCCCGGGGATGTCCCTGCCACGGCGCGCGAGCGGAAGATAGGTTCCAGACAGACAGCAGCGCCCTAATATTTCCTGCCCACCTTGGTTCCATCGTGAGGCAACGCCAATGATGGATACTCCGTTTGAGATATCGCCGTCCGTGTGGGAAGGCAGAGGAAGACCGACGAAAGAACGCCCGCCCACTTACCATGGAAAACTGACAGGCCGTTTCCTGAGCCCGTACAGTTTCGATCATGACGTACACGTCAAACCTTCTTGTCACCACCCGGGAACGTGTTTCTGATTGTACCCATATAAACTACGTTGATCTAATTCGTGCTCTGTGGTGCCGTGCTAACCTAACTAGAGGACCCGAGGGCCTATGTGCAAACTGTCGAGACTTTGTCCAATACAGCCCTGTTCCCTGAATATCGAAGACTCCCTAAACACCATGCTGACTACCATCGTGATTTTTGACACCTCATACAATTGTCAATACTCGGTCCCGGTCGTTACCATTCCGTCATTCCATCAGGCATTCAGCTTGTTACCCAGAACCTCTCCGACCCACCGCTCCTTATCGTCCCCGATCTTCCGTCTGAACATGCTCAGGTCGCTCAGCAGACTGCGCATGTAGTCTTGCATGTCGTTGGCATTGTCCTCCATGACATCTGAGTCGTAAGCCGTATCGTCCGAGTCGTCGTACACTGACTCGCCCTCCTCGGCGTTCTCCTTGTCTTCTTGTCCCGCCTCCCTGGTATTCTCGTCGTCTTCCTCCACTGGCTTGACGGTGACGGCGGGGATGGGGTTCTTCAGGCTCTCGAGAGCCAGCTTGAGGTGCAAGCGAAGGGCCTCGTTCTCCGTCTGCAAGCTGCGTATCTTTCCCTCCGCGACGAGACTGCGCTCCTCCATCATTCGCTGCATTGTAACGACGCGGTTCTGGTACTCCTCGAGCTTCTCCTCTTGATCCTTGTTATCCTTCTCCCGCCGGCGCGACTCCGAGACGGAGAGCTGGAGGTTCCGGATCTCCTCCGCCATTGCCACGATCTGGGCGTCGCGCTCAGCCGACGAGATATGGTCTTGGTTGACGATCGCACGCGTGCGAATACGTTTGGCCTGGTCTGCGTAGCGAAGAGTCGAAAGAGTCTCTTCGTAGTCCGACGGCGCGATACAGGCAATCATGGCCGTTTTACTGTTGCCTCCCAGCGAGTCCTTCAACAGCCATGTCAGGATCGAATCTCGGTATGGTACTACGTCCTTGCTTCGCTTTCTGGAGCCTGGCTTCGCGTCTGCGAGCGCCCCGATGACACGACCGAGGGTGGTCAGGGATTTGTTGATGTTGCTACCCTCGCGAAGCCGCTGTCCGGTTGCCTCGGTCGCCTTGGCACGCTCACTTCCGGCCAAGTCGACCAGCCGGATGCGCGAGCTTCGTTCGGTCGTCTCGTCCGTCTCCATATCGTGGTGGATCTGCTTGAGCATAATAGTAAAAACAGCATGGCTGCGACTACTCGTGTCGTTCATCCTGGTACTGGCCACAGTTCTCGATCTGTCGCCGGCCGTCATATACCTCAAAATCTCGTTGAGATTGCGGACAGGCACCTCGGTCAAGTCTTTGACATACGGGCCGTCCGTCGGGGACTCTCTGATCTTGAGATAGTATGGTGGCTGATTTGGCACGACGGGGACGAGCAGGTCGCGAACGTGCTCGTTATAGACCTCAAAGTAGGATACCCTGACGTTGTAAGAGATGTTGGGTGTCTCGTTCTGCGCAGCTTCGATTCGCTCAAAGAGATCCTCGCACGTTCGAGGAATCAAACCCGGCTGATCTGGTGTGCCCATCATCGTGTAACTCTTGCCTGAGCCCGTCTGGCCGTAGGCGAAGATGCAGGTGTGGTAGCCCTCGAAGTTGTGGTCGAGGAACTCTTCACCCAGGCTGTTGTAGACGTCCGACTGGTGCGCATAGTGCTTGTCTTCGATATCGTGACTCCAAAAAGAATTGTCGAATGTGAAGGACTTCTCTTCGATGATCTTCCTGGACTTGGCCTTTGCGTTCGCCGGGTCGTCATCGTTCGGGACAAGCAGCGTCGTCTGCTGGGTAATGGGGTCCATCTCTACCAGACATTCGGCACCACGCTGGATCTCTGCGACCTCTGTCAGTATTGAAGTGTTTCATGTCTATATGGATCCTCATACCTCTGGGCAGAAACGCTCGGACACGGACAACAACTCGAACGTTGCCCCCGTCCATTCTGACCGGCGCATCGTGCGACCGCAGGGACGGGGTAGACGCAGACGAATGAAGCTGAGGCATCTCGAAAACCACTGAGGGCATCAATCGAGGGTCGAGAGATAGTCCACGCAAGGTGGTGGTAAGTTCATTGAGGATCTCGCGGTAACGTCGATGATGTGTAGCCCACATCCCAAGACGAGGCGGTCGGGCTTGTTTACTCTGTTGCCCAATTGGGAGGTGACTTGGTGGGGCCGAGTTGCCGGGGCAGTGACGCCACACTCGCTCTGTTTGAGCGCTGCTGCTGAGCTGAGAGTGGTTTGAGGAGCGGTACCCCTGCAGTGAGGAAGCTGCAAGGAGTACTGGGTTTCCGGACAATGAAAAAGAAGGAGATCAATATTGATGAGAGGTAAAATGAAGGAACAAGTAAGTTCTGTTCTTTGAAAAGATTGACAAGCCCGAACAAAGTTGACAGCTGTGGTCAACGCGAAGCTGAAAGAAGTGCTGTGCTTTGCCGAATTAATGATCGCAGGTTCAAAGTGTCCGCGCAAACAAAAAGGTCTAAACATTTAATACAGTGATAGTGTCAACGCCTGACGCCACGCCTACGCCGTCTAGTCCTGCAAATGGCATTCATCGTCTACATCCTGCAGCCTGGTCTATGTCCTGCAGCTCAGGCGCCCTTCCTGGCATCTTTCCATGCTTATTCTTCTCTTGCTTATTCTAGAAACCAAACAGATTACCTACCCACTCAAGCCACTCAAGGACGTCGAAGACCCTTTCCCATCAGCTCTGATCCCACTTCCATAATCAACTTCTCCCCTGGAAACTGCTTCTTCTTGGCGAGGATAGCGTCCTCTGCATCCATGGTCCTCAACAAATCGGACACCTCGCTGTCTAGTGGTGTACAATAAACCAAGTTCCCGAGCGCGAGCAGCATGCCTTGCAAGGCTTCTGGGGACTTTTCTTCCTGCCCGATGGCTTCCAAAACTGAGGCGGCCAACTCTACCGAGTCACCCTCTGGCAGAATGTCTCTCTTCTCCCGCCTTGCCTTGTTGCTGGCTAGTGACAGATTGAACAAGAGCGACGAAGCGGATACGCGGACGTTGTTGTGGCTGTCATCAAGGAAGCTTGATGAGATCAGCTGAATGATGGGTGCTCTCAGAGACTCTGTGCGGAGGATCTCTTCTGGAAAGAGGGGTGTCGAGAAAAAGTTGCAGGCCATCTGCAGTGTTACGAGACGCAACGCGTAGGGGCACTCGCTATGAGAATTGACGAAGCCGAGTACAGCTTGCACTGTAGTATGGTCCTTCTCTTCGGCAAAGTAGCCACTGAACCTTGCATCCGCAAGTGCGCATCTGAAGAGATCGACTATTGTGAACAAAATATCAACCGGGAGTGTCTGCGTCGATTTCTTCACGAAGTCGGAAAATTGGCCGAGGTTGGGAAGCACGGCAGCCGCAGGACCTTGCTTGTCGCGGGTGTCAATGAATTTCTTGACTTCTTGGACGGCCGGTTCTGCTGCCGTTGGTCCCATCTTCGCCATCAGCTTGTCCAAAGGCGGAACTTTGGAGTACAAGACGGGTCGAGCATTTGGATTCGAGAAGCTAGGGAGATTCAGGGATTCGTGAGGGTGTCGTGGCCAAGCCATCTGCAACAGAAGCTGTACGTTGCCGCGGAGAGCGGCAGGATCAGCTCCCGCCCATTCGTTCTCCTTTTCGCCATGTAAATATGTGATGAATGTCGGTGTTGCGCGCGGGTAGTTCTTTCCAGGCACAGGAGTGAGCCGAGCCACGTCGACCTTGATGAAGGTAGCCTTGTCTCCGGCCTCCGCAGACAGTTCGTCGAAGGTCGGCGAGATCATCTTGCATGGGGGGCAAGTTGCTGATGTGAAGAGTACCACTGCGCAGGACTTCTTCGCGGAGTCGAGGACTGCGTCTAACTCGTTCGAACTTTGAACGACCTTGACAATGGACTGAGGCCTTGCAGGCTGCGATGCTGAGCCGTACCCATTGGCCGAGTTATTGTTCTGGATACCCAAGATCGACCCATTTTGTCTATTCGAGGTCATAGCCTGGGTCAGCTGGGGCATAATCATTCGGCCCAGAGGCGAGCTGAGCACGGCATCCGGCATCTTGATAATGTGCTCCGGGATGCCCTTTCCCAACAGGAACTGGGCAAAGGAATCAGAGAAGTTATTGCAGTTATGCTTCCACAAGTCATAGGCCTTTAATAAGTCAGCAATCAGGTCCCTGCATCCAGCTGTTGGTAGTACTCACCTCAATTGTAAAGATCGGCCTTAGTGAGTCAAGGAACTCTTCGATGACTTCCATGGGCAGTTCTGTCCTGCCGAGAAATATCCGCTCCATCGGTTGACCCAGGTGAGAGGTTCCCGGTGTGATATCCACGATACCACCATCGTAGACAAATTCTCGGCCGTTCAGTTCAATAGAAGTGTGGTAGATAGCATCGAGGTGAAATCCTAGCATGCCTTGAGACATTTGCCGAGCAAGTCCACGGGACAGGTCGTACGTTAAGAGATGGACATCCATATCGGCGATAGCAAAGCCGAAAGCAAGGGACAAGTCGGTCTTGGCGAAGTCACTGTAGATGTTGTGCGGATGAGTAAAAGTCGACGAACGCAAGGAAGTCCAAAAGACAGGAAAAGTCTATGGAATGGCAGTAAAACTCCTTTTATCTGCTTATTCTCAGATGTAAGTCATAAAGGAAAGAGCTCGGAGACAATGAAGGGAACAACGGCAATGATGATAGCAGAGGCAGCAAAGCATTCGTAAGAGTCGATGGCGAGAAGCTTCCAGGACGGGAGCCGGTGCAGTCCAGTCGGATTCGGTAAGACCAGCGCCACCCGTGGCTTAGGTAGGTAGGTTGGTCTCGAGGTCCCCGGGCCGTCCAGGGTGCAGTTCACTTTGAAAATGATTACCTAATGACTTGCGATGCCACGTCCCCAAGTTTGACATTCCCTGCATCGAGGACGGAGAGAACTGGCCCCGGCGGAGGTTATCAGTGGCTTTGGAGGAAGAGGAGGAAGCACAGGGCAATAAAGTAGGGGGGCTCAGCAGGGAATGGCAGCCCCGCCCCCTGAACGCGGAGCCATTAAGAGACACGCGAGAAGGAGGTTCCAGAGGTTCCAGCACTTTAGTGGCTTCGCGTCGTCCCCGCTGCCGCTCCAAGATTAGCAAACTGTCAGATTTAGCAGGGATTCTCTTGATTTTTTTGATGACTTCTCAGGAAAATCTGCAATTGCCCATCAAACCCCCTTCGAGGCCGGAGGACAGAGTACCACCCCATTGGCGCCCCTTACATATACGAAATCTCGTACTTGACAACACCACACGTCAACCCGTCCCGTCCACACGTCCTTCGTCCTGGTGTTCCACGACCAATCCAGTCAGTCCGCTCTTTTTCCAACGGCCGCACGCACCTGGTTCTGGTTATTGTTCGAGTCGCCCGCCGTGCTCCCTTTGTAATCGGTCCACGGTCCATCCACTCCTTTGTCCTATTCGACGGCGGCCCGCCTCGAATGCATTAAACTTGTGTCCCCTTGAGCAACGACTCTCTCCTCCGAAGACTCGCGACCAATGCGAAGAACATCTGTGTCGCTGCCGACGAAGCAACCCGCCCGAGATCCTCACGAAAAGCCCGGAAGATTCGCACCAGCCCATCGCAAGACCGGCCTGTTTGCTAGCTTAAGAGATATGTCTCAAGCGCAGAAGACGAGGTGGATGAGGACAGGCGCTATTGCCTTCCTCGTCGTTTTCCTCTTCTGGTACCTGTCTCCCAGAGGAGTGAACGTTCGCCCTGGTGGAGGTATGCGACATCTGCTCCCTGCCGACGAAACGTTGCTAATAGATCATGTCTAGTCTCGACCGGTGGCTCTGGTGGCCAAGTTCCGGCCGATTCTTCCTATGGCACCGAGAAGTGCTCCGTGTCAAGCTCCAAGTCGAAGCCCATTGTCCAATATGTCCTCATGATCGATGCCGGCAGCACGGGATCCCGTATCCACGTCTACAAGTTCAACAACTGCGGCGCCACTCCCGAGCTCGAGCACGAGGAGTTCAAGATGACCGAGAAGTCGGTCGGTGGCCTCAGCAAGTATAAGGACGACCCCGAGGCCGCAGCCAAGACTCTCGATGCCTTGATGGAGGTCGCTCTCAAGACTGTTCCCGATAAGCTCAAGGCCTGCAGCCCTGTCGCGGTGAAAGCAACTGCTGGTCTGCGTATGGTCGGCCCCGAGAACGCCCAGAAGATCCTGGACGCCGTTCGCACCCATCTTGAGAACGACTACCCCTTCCCCGTGGTTGCCAAGGAGGACAACGGTGTCGCCATCATGGACGGTGCCGACGAGGGTGTCTACGCCTGGATCACCACCAACTACCTCCTTGGTAAGATTGGTGGCCCCGACAAGAGCCCCACTGCCGCTGTCTTCGATCTCGGCGGTGGATCTACTCAGATTGTGTTTGAGCCGACCTTTAAGGGAGCGCCGGAGGGCGGCATGCCTGAGAAGCTCGCCGAGGGTGACCACAAGTACGACCTCAAGTTCGGCGGACAGCAGTTCGAGCTTTACCAGCACTCTCATCTTGGGTACGGTCTGATGAGCGCCCGCAAGGCCGTTCACAAGACGCTGGTAAATGAGATGTTCGAGAGCAAGAAGTCTGACGACAGCTGGGTTAAGCAGCCCATTGTTCACCCTTGCATTGCCCCCGGCATGGTCAAGGAGGTTGAGGTCGAGCTGGACGAGGGCCACCCTCTGGGCAAGACCGTCACCTTCAACATGACAGGCCCTTCCCAAGCCGCTCCTGCTCAGTGCCGTAACCTCGCCGAGAAGATTCTCAAGAAGGAGGAGTCCTGCAAGCTCGCTCCTTGCTCTTTCAACGGTGTTCACCAGCCGACTTTGGCCAAGACTTTCGCGCGCGAGGATGTCTACATCTTCTCCTACTTCTACGACCGTACCAAGCCTCTCGGCATGCCCGATTCTTTCACCCTCCGCGAAATGCACGATTTGGCCAACTCTGTCTGCGGTGGTGAGAAGGCGTGGGACGTCTTCTCTAGCGTCCCTGGTGCGCTGAAGGAGCTCCAGGGCCGCCCCGAGCACTGCCTCGATCTCAACTTCATGATGGCCCTTCTCCACACCGGTTACGAGATGCCCATTGACCGTGAGGTCAAGATCGCCAAGAAGATCAAGGGCAATGAACTAGGCTGGTGCCTTGGTGCCAGGTGAGCAACTTTCTTCCCGCTTCAGTATGTGCGCAGATGCTAACATTATGCAGTTTGCCTCTCCTTTCCCCCGGCTCCGGCTGGAAGTGCAGGGTTGACCAGGTTAACTAAGCATCTTGCATTAAACTGCGCAAGTCTCCTCTGGAGTTAGGCTTGTAGTTATATAGACTTTTAATTCCACGACAGAACCGGGAATGTTGTTCGATTACGAATTGTACAGGAGGCACGAAGGTCATATGGCGGGTGCAGGAACATGCATCAATACACAGACCAAAAGGCGGGCGTTTCATGTCATTATACGGTTTCCATGGGTATTAGGATTATAGGCTCGGTCAGACGCAGCCTTTTAGAATACACTTGCTCCCTGGATATCGTCTTAAGCTTCGATCAAAGCGGCGCGGCCACCAAGCTCAGCACGTCCTCAATCACGTCCTCCGGGCCCACACCTTCGAGAATGGACTCGATGGCCTCGAGCTGGCTTCCCCATTGCATGCTGCGTTCCTGTCGAGGGTGCACAATCCGTATTCGATGCAGATAGACTTTCCTAACGGCCAAATGCACGAGGGCTGGGGTGACAAAGTCCAGCCTGTGTAGCGGCGCGAGGCACTTGAGCAGCTGCTCTAGATGCTTCGTTGCAGTCGGCTCGATACCGCCGGCAACGGCGCGGTGCATTCTCAGGTACGAGACCACATTCATCTGGTAACGCAGTACATCTACGTCAATGTGCACGTCTCGACTATTCTTCGCGATGGCCGCAATATTCTGCCGCCAATTAGCACATATCGTCTCAAATTGCGTTTCTGAACCGAGCTTACACCCTCGCGGAAGATGGGGTCTTCGCTAACAGTGGGCAAATCGCCATTGATGCTCTTTTTGAGCACGCTTTCAGTACTAGCAGTTTCTGCGCCGTCCGTAGCGTCATACGCATCATCGAGAAGAGGAAAGCCGTCCTCCGGATCATGCCAGTGAGCAATGAAGAAGTAGTCGTTCAGGTGAAGCGTGACGTGAGCTTGGCCGCCACTCTCGGCGCCTAGAGCAGCGACGAACAGGAATTGCTTCGGAGCGGTCTGGACGGAGGTACGGGTGAAGATACGCCGTGTGCGCAGAAGCTCGAGGACCTGGATCTGTACGGCCCTCGGTGCCCGGTCGAGGTTTCGGGCCACGATGACATTGGCGATGGAGGATGAGCCGGCACCCTGGCCGGTTGGGCTGGTGGCTGTGACGGCGGTCAAGGGAGAGATGCCTGCGCGAGAAAAGTAGGATTCATTGCGAGTGCGTAGGGGCGAGCCGGATCTCGTCGCTGTTGGCGACTGCTGTGTGAGGATCGAGGATGCAAAGTCCTCTAGTGTGGTTTGCGGGGTGCATTCGACCACGGCGCATTTCAGACCAAACGTCTTCGTTGCGATCTGGAAGACGTCAGTATGTTGGCCTCTTGTGTTTTACGAAATTTCGGGCGAGAGTGATGCCTCACCAGCTGCAGCTCCTCAACAAGCTCGTCGAGGGCAGCGGGCGACGTGCTGACGATGCAGTGTTCGCGGTTGACAAGGCACAGCAGGGCGGCCAGCTCCAAGTCGCTCAGGCTGTGAACCTTGCTCAAAAGACCGTCTTCATCCGCCATGGGAATTCTCGTGGAGTGGTTGTCGAGAATCCCATCAACTCATCCTGGACCGCGCGCGTACTCTTGATGAGAGCTCCATCCGTCTCGCCTTGACCGTCGTTGAGGGAAAGATGTGGCGTAGGCGTCATGCAGGCTGTGTAGGTGCCTTACCTAAGCGCTGCGAACATGGCATCCATCTGATGCACCTTACCGGCCAACGAGTCTGGGCGGGCTCCAGCGCCTTGGAGCACCATCATTTGGCGTCCTTCCAGGTGCCCTGCGTGTACAAACTCACTATTTACGTCAGCACCTTTGCAGTTGCCTGGTTAGACCCGGCCTTGCAAGCAGCTCTTTGATAGGCTGAAACTTGCAAATGTGACGGGAGCTCTCAGTACCGCCTGCTTCCCTGTCAACCTCCACCATCACTTCCGTCTATCGATCATCGACCTGCACCCGACACCAACCAACCACCCCTGACGCACTACAACGGTCCGTTTCCGACCACTTCGACATTCGAACCGATTCTTGACCCGATCGCGACGCAGGCTACATCTACCGTCGACCAACAGACGGCCCGCCGAAGTGCGACTATTTTCAATCGACACATACACGCAGACGACCCGACAAGCCCATATCCACGATGTCATCGAGAAAGAAGGTCCTTCTCAAGGTGGGCTTTATCAGCGCGCGCTATAAAAGTCACGAGCGGTGTAATTGACAGCAACCTTTTCGCAGGTCATCATCCTTGGCGACAGCGGTGTCGGCAAGACCAGTCTGATGAACCAATATGTACGTCTTCTGCGCTGCGGTGCCCAGCAGCCCGACCGACGCAGACTCAGAGTGCTGATTCGAATGCTCTCGTGCCACAGGTCAACAAGAAGTTCAGTGCAAGCTACAAGGCCACGATCGGAGCCGACTTTTTGACCCGCGAGGTCCTGGTCGATGACCGACAAGTGACGATGCAGGTGGGCGATACCGAACATATCGACGATTAGAACAAAGGGCGTTATGCTGATGGATTATAGCTCTGGGATACTGCTGGACAGGAGCGTTTCCAGTCTCTGGGTGTTGCTTTCTACCGTGGAGCCGACTGCTGCGTTCTCGTCTACGACGTCAACAACTCCAAGAGCTTCGACGCTCTCGACAGCTGGAGGGACGAGTTCCTGATCCAGGCTTCGCCTCGGGATCCCGACAACTTCCCCTTCGTGAGTGGTGTTTATAGCGGAAGCAAGACATGCATGCTGATAAGAGTCTAGGTCGTTCTTGGAAACAAGATCGATGTTGAGGAGAGCAAGAGGGTGGTAAGTTCACTATTGCGCGTGAAAACTTGGGATAAGTATGCTAACAAGTTGCGCAGATCTCGACCAAGCGCGCGATGACTTTCTGCCAGTCCAAGGGCGGAATTCCCTACTTCGAGACCAGTGCGAAGGAGGCTATCAACGTCGAACAGGCGTTTGAAGGTTGGTTGCGTTACTGAAATATCTCTTGGAGTTACTAATATGTCAAACTAGTCATTGCACGAAACGCCCTGGCCCAGGAGGAGTCTGAAGAATTCAGCGGAGATTACCAGGATGTCATCAACATCCCCATCGAGAACCCCCGCGACGGCTGTGCCTGTTAAGCAGAGTTTGAATGAGCACACAGTCGACATTGAACGGGAGAGGACTTGGGCGGCGCACACTAATGGGACGCATTCGACTCGCATTATGTTTACCCCACGGCCCCTCACATATCCATCTTGGCCGTGGTTTGATGTAGCATATCCTGCACTGGTATGAAAGGTGTTTAGAGGTTTCATTTGAATTTGAATTCACGGGTTTATTCGTAGGATACCAAACGTTTTGCGGTGGACCATCTCCAAGTCAGTGAACACGTTCCAACGCCAGTCTTGTCCCAGGATGATGGCATAACAACCCTTGCTTAAGCGCAGTCTGCCTGACAGTGCACCGTCCGCAGACCGATGAGTTCATATCTTTGAGGTTTTCGACAAGACGCACCGGGCCGAGTTGACGGATCACGCTTGCCGTCCATCAGCAGACTCCGCTCATAAGACTGGACCCAAAGCTGCGCTAAAGTACAATGCAAGGGAACCGGCAATAAGCCCGACCCGGCAGGCTTGGTCTTAGCTTCGCGGCGTCATCCTTGGCTTTGTTCAACCTCAACAAGCCCGTCAGCTCAGAAATAAGGATAGAATTGGTGCTCGCAGGCAGGATAAGTGAGTTGCCAGTACCTAGAGGAACACAGGAACGGCCAGGGAGGCTGAGACGTAGCGGCACGCGACCGGCCCACCATCGCCATTGGTCGCTAGCTCTTGGGACGAATACAGGGGCTGTTGTCCGTGCAGTTGAAACTGGCAACCTTGAAGAAACACCTTTAAACAACAACTGACACGATTCCCTTAAAATAAACCCCGTCGTCAACAATCCGTCGACGCGTGCAAGTGCGAGAGCAAGACAATCTTGCCGGGCTCCTCTTTGTGGGCTTTCCCCACGAGTCCAACTTTCCGACCTCCGAGAAGTCATCTACGCATGCCCACTCCTTCGCAATCCGGGCCCCCAGACACATAAACCGGAAGCAGACAGGTTGGCGGAACGGCAGAATCGTGCCGGTCACACACGCCGAGTCAGCGACGAGACTTCCGCCCTCGATTGAATACGATATTCATACGTCAGACCGTTTCTCCGACCCCGTTGCCGACAAATGCCTACGGCGGAGGCCGCTTTCGATTACCATACGACCGACAATCCTTCCTGATACCCTTCCTCTCTCCCTTGCGATCGCGAGAACCCTCCCCCCATTTCGAACGAAACAATGGCGCCGAGCGAGCCTATCATGCCCGCCGCGATAGCACCCGAACACGATCGCCATGCGAGGAGGTCCTTCTCGAGCGCGGATCGGCTGAGCGCATCCGTTGCGTCTACCACGAGGTCGAGGTCGACGGTGCGCTCATCGGGGCTGCAGGCGAAGCTGGGGCTGGCTGGAGTTGCGAGACGGACACTAGGAATATCTTTGTTGCTGGTGACGGTGTGCCTATGGACGGTGTCCAACTTTCTTGCTTCGGTGAGCCGGCTTCCAGGGAGGAAAGGGAGACGAACGTCCGGCTGACTTGCGACAGTACATCTTCTCCGATCATTCTTACGACAAGGCCTTCTTCGTGGTGTATATGAACACCTCGGTGTTCGCGGTTTCGTTAATACCAATGCTGATCAAGTTTCTCTGGCGGCACGGCATTGAGGGACTACGGCGAGAGGCGATGGTGGTATGGAACGAGCAAAAACACGGCAAGCCAGGACTGAAGATGGAGGGCGACGAGGAGGACGCCGTGGCTGGCGAACGATTGCTCGTCGACGACGAACCGAGCTTGGAACGAGAGGGCTACGAGCTCAAGGTCGAGCAGCTGACGTTCCGGGAGACGGCCATAATCAGCCTCGAGTTCTCCCTGTTGTGGTTCTTCGCCAACTACTTCGCCTCGGCGTGCCTGGAGTACACCAGCGTGGGGAGCGTGACGATTCTCAACTCGACGAGCAGCGTGTGGACGCTCATATTCTGCGCGCTGATGAAGGTCGAGGGGTTCACGCTGCGCAAGTTCATCGGTGTGCTGGCGTCGCTGACGGGCATCGTGCTCATCTCGTCCGTGGACCTCTCCGGGTCGAGCGACGAGAACCGCGGGTCGTTCCCGCATAAGACCACGGCGCAGATCGCGATCGGGGACTTCATGGCTCTGGTGAGCGCCCTCGTGTACGGTCTCTACGTGACTGTGATGAAGCACCGGGTGGGCAACGAGGACCGGGTGAACATGCCGCTGTTCTTTGGCCTGGTGGGCCTGTTCAACCTTGTGTGCCTCTGGCCGGTGTTTTTCATCCTGCACTTCACTGGGCTTGAGCCGGTAAGTAGCTGATGCCCGTTCTATGTCTCTTATGTGTGTGTCTTCTAACAGCATCACAGTTTGAACTGCCTCCCACGGGCAAGATCTGGGCCATTGTCATCGGAAACTCGCTATCTTCCTTCATAAGCGACATGTCCTGGGCGTACGCCATGCTGCTCACCACGCCGTTAGTAGTGACAGTGGGCTTGTCACTGACGATTCCCTTGTCACTCATCGGCGAGATGATTCAATACTCGCAATACTCCAGCTGGGTATACTGGGTAGGCGCGGCGGTTGTGCTCATTTCGTTCTTGTTCATCAATCACGAAAGTCACGAAGACGAGTCGGACGGCAAGCCCTCCGAGGCAGGATCCCGGGCAGCTCATTTATAGATTCCATCGAGTGGACAATCATAATTCCGGTGGAGGGAATACTCCAGAGAGAAGAAGACTTGGGCGATATACTTATGCATAGATAAAGGCGTTAGCATGGCGTTTACCGGGATTGGGTCAACCTGGAGCGCAGACTCGAAGGTGTCCGCCCTGTGTCACTTGATAATATAAATCACTTGTTCAATTCCCATGCACCATTGACACCTCTGAGGATGAAAGTCGATCTTGGCATCGCGCGCCACACTGTCAACAACGCCCAACTTGACATCCCGCTAGCCGGCCGCATGGCATGGTCCGGCCAGCCTCAGAAGATTCCGAGAAGGTGTCACACACGATAAGGGGTGGGTTATATCTGCAGGTCGCAGCGTGGGGTGATGCTCGATATTAGCGAGTGCCTGTTTCATTGGCTGCCTCGAGGATGATTGCAGATGCGCGGACTTGGAAAATCGGATTTCTGAGAATTCGATGGTCCGGTTTTCCAGAATACGATGTTTTTTTTTTTTCGGGTGTGGGATCGACGATGGGAGCGCGCGCGCGCCGCGCAATCGGATTCGCCGCCTCCGCCGCCGCCCGTCGCTGCCTGGACCCTTTCCCGACTCCCAACTCCACTGCGGCAATAAATCCGTATAGTCAAAAATACTCAAAAGGAAGTGAAAGGAAAAGGTTCGTATCCTGAGGCGTGCTGGGCTCCCCCTGCGTTGATCGAGATAGAGTTGCGGGAAATCTGAAAGTTTGTCGACCTCACAGGATGATCAACAGCCGCAAATAACCTTGGGAATGAGGCACGGCCTGACAAGAGTAAAGACGGACTGACGAGAAGCCCTGGAGATGAGATGGATGGATCATGGATGGGAAGACGACAAGACTAAAAAGGTGCAGTCCGGACTTCGTACGACGGACGTGCGAAAGTGGCTTGACCTCCGCGGGCTGATGACCTGCCAAAAAGCCGATCGCTGGACACAGCGGGGAAGAATGGTTTCTTCTGCAGAGGATCCCCCGAAAGCCCCAACCAAAACACATGACACCCAAGTAAGGCAGGTCTTCTCATGTCTCTTCCAGCTTCCAGGTTTTCAACGCCGACCGCAGCGGGCTAGTCACAGGCGTAGCAATGCGTCTGGCTGGACTGCAATGCGCAAACTGTTCCAGTGAGGTCCAGCCCGATTCGAAAAAGTGGCCCTACGGGGCCGACGACGGCGACTTGACCCCTGAACCTGAACAGCGTCCACTGACACTCCCAGGACCCCTCGCCATCCCCCCGCCCCCTCTCCCTCTTCGAGGTTAGGTTCCCTGGGCGTGGATCCAGGGTACTGTTGCCGCTGTTCTTCAGCTTTTTCTTTCACAATTCCAGTCGGGTCTTTAATATTTTTCTTGTCATTTCGGACAAGACAAAGGGTTGTGCGGTCTTTGAGTCGTGAGGTCACTTGCTTATCGTGGTTATTCGTCTGTTCTGAAAACATAGGAACTAGATTCTTTTCGCTGAGACGTCATCAGGTTGAAGAAATATCAGCATATCTTCCATTGTTATCTCTACCGTTGTCATTGTCTCCCTCGTCGTCTCTGTCAGCCTCTACGTCGTTATTATCATTAAATTGGTATCAAAGTCGTCGACGTCGTTGTCGTGGTATTCAGATCGGGGGTCATACACCACGATCTAGCCTCCTTCCTCCGGAACGCTATATCTCTTTCTTCCTCTAAAAACGGAGGTGGGATATCCCGCCCGGCAGGAGAGATAGACAAGAGCCCAGGCACACCGATCATTGGACTGCACCATATATTCAAGATCGACGCTACGACTGCCGCTTCTGTTCCCTCTGCCTACATCTGGCTTCTCCCTCCGCAAGTTACATCCCAGACAACTAAGAGAAAGCAAGCACGAGGAGAAAGTCTTCTAGGACTGTCCTTGGCAGCCACCTCTTCCGACGTTTACACCACTTCGAACTCGACAAAGAAAACACCATCGTTATCCTAGAAATATCCTCTGGCTCCCCGAACGGCTCCTACACTTGCCGAGACTTACACGTTCTATGACCTACGCTACCGGGCCACGATCTGCACGCTTCCTATAAGCCTCTGGCGCCGCAACTCCTTCACCTGGAGGCTTGATAACAAAATCGACGTCTCGGCCACGTCGTGACTATGACTTCAGCAGCCGCACCGCCGCCACCGCCCGAGGATGTCCAACGTCCCTTGTCAGAGTCCATCGCTGCCGCAACCCGTTCCGTTCATACGAAGCTTAACAGGCTGATCATCGCCCGTCTGCCGCTGGCGATCCCTCCCCGATCTGCCGACCCCGCCATTTACGTCTCTGGTCTGCTTCACATTGCCCCTATCTACATCGCTTTTGAGTCACTATTGAAGGATATCGTCGACTCTTCTGCCGCGGCGAAATATGACTCCGCGCAAGGCACCTCGGAGGTTCCGTCTACAGTTTCCAACGCCGAGACTAGGTTGAAAAACAATGTCGCCATCACCGAAAGGACTCGGTCGATATTGGAGTCCATTTACTTGCCAGGACTGATGCGCTCAGATCGGTTGCGGTCAGACATTCGCTCTCTTACAGGATGGTCTCCTGAGGTTGTCGAAGAGCAGTTGAGAATCGTCTCTGAATCAAGTCGCCTCGCCGAGTTCGTACGGCATGTAAAACGCACGATCGAAAGGAAGCCGCATGTCTTGCTAGCCTACTCGTACATCCTTTTCATGGCTCTCTTTGCTGGTGGAAGGTTTATCAGGGCGACCCTCGAGTCCGCAGGTTCAGACTTTTGGGACCAAGTACCATCGCCAATCCCACCATCTCAGCAGGCCTGTCAACCACGCCCGCAAAAGAAACATGAAGCAAGAGCGCCGGTTGATCTATTTGGAGGGGATAGTGGAACTCTCGAAATCGGCGAAAAGCATCTGCGGCACACGTTCCCTCTGAGTTTCTTCCACTTTGCCACTGCTCTTGATGGCGAGGATCTAAAGAAGGAGTTTAAGAGAAGACTGGCGGAATCCGAGGGCCTTCTGACTGCACAGGAGCATCATGATGTCATACAAGAGGCAATCTGCATATTTGACAACATGCTGCTCCTCGTCAGCCAGCTCGACAACGTCTGCGAGACCGACTTCGAGGATGACAAGGCCATGAGCTCTTGGATTTCACTTGGATCTGGCGGCCGGCTGCGCGACAGCGTGGTAGTGACTCACGAGAGGAGAGCGCAGGCTTCTCAGCGAGGTTCCGAAGACAGCGAGAGGTCGAACACGTGGCTCTGCAAACATGCAAGGCAGAAAAGGTCCGAGACTTCAGCGGCACCAGTTCCGATCGACCTCGAGGGACAACCGCCCGCATGCTGTCCGGCGTCGGGGTCTATGAAATTCGACGGGAAGCTGCCGGTCCCCGACAGGAAGGGTCAGGGCGCATTCTCGACCGACGGCGCGGCTGATATGCCGCCCTCCACGCGGCAAGCGAGGTCTTTCATCGCCTTGTTATCCAATATCGTCCTCATCGCAGGACTGGCCGCGATCGTGGGCATGTTTTGCTTGGCTAGGAGGTCATGAAGGGGACGGAAAAGGAGGCATTATCATCGAGCTTAGCATCGCGACCTCGGCGTTTCTGGAGCGTTTGTATTAAGATACCGCATGGGATAGATACACGATACCCCCTATAGTTTTCTTTGCGCGTTTTTGGCTTGCGTACTCATCAGACCGGTGTATTGATTCCTAGACCGAGTACATAGCATGTATATACCACATACGCACATACCCCAACACTCATGTATTCAAGAGCTTCAAAACCTTGCAGTGACGTATATCATTCATGTGCCAAGGGGAAATCCCAAGTCTCTTTTACGAAAGAAGGGCGAAAACACGCAGTGGTATCTAGTATAATCCTATCGCAATGCCGTGTGCCATGATCGTGAAAAGCCCAGCCTGACCCGTCGTGAACCTGAAAATGCACCCAATACCATCCCATCCTATCCATCCATCCATCCATCGTCCAATGTACACAAAGGCCAGAAAACTTTTGTTTGTATCGAGTGTCGCATCGCATCCCCTTCTCGAGCGAGGTATCCTTCAGTCAAGCAGTCAAGAAAAAAAAGAAAACACAAAAAAAGGGTGTATAAAAAAGGGGGGAGGAGAGGGTCCGATCAGCACTCGGAGTGCATGTCATCGTCGTCGTTATCGTCGTCTCGGTCCCAGTCGTCCGCGACGTCGGCGTACCCGGACATGTGTCTCCTGCCGCCGAACTCGCCGCCGGTGCGCAGATCCCACGCCGTGCCGCAGCCGTTGGGAACGTCGCTGCCGTCGCCGCCTTCTTGCCAGTGCCGCGCCATGTAGTCGTCCGAGATGGTGACGAGCTTGCCCTCGTTTGTCCAGCTCAGGCCCGTGACCTCGCGGCGGTGGCCGCGAATCAGGGGGGTGCCGTTGCGGACGATGGGGACCTGGCCGGTGGCGGGTGCGGTGCCCTTGGGTTGCGGCGCGGCGGGTTCCGTGGTGGGCTGGGCGAGGTGGCTTTGGGTGTCCCAGTGCTCCCTCATGAGGCGCTCGTCGGTGGGGAAGAGGAGGGCGCACTTGTCGCTTCCTACGGCGAGGAGCTCAGTGCCGGTGATGGAGACGGGGCGGACGGCGCAGCGGACGTAGAAGGACTTAACGTGGAACAAGTCGTGCTTGAAGCCGTAGAGGGGACCGAGGCCGCGGACGGCGGAGCCGGCTTTCTGGCGAGGAGGCCGGGTGGAGAGTTCAGGGGCTTGGCCGAGCATCAAGTGAGAGGTGGAGTAGGCGTAGACGGTGTTGTCCTTACAAACGGCGTAGAGACGGGCGGCGTCACTGCTGAGGGCGAGAGAGGTCAGGCCATAGGGGCGCCAGCGGTGGGTTGCTGGCTCGGCGGTGATGGCGAGCGGGGTGGCGTCGGGGCGGTTGCGTGGTGTGATATAGCGGGTGTCCCAGAGCTTGATGCAGGCGTTCGCCTCGGAGGCGGAGAGGAGGAGGTGCTCGCGGCCAGGGGGCATGTATTGCAAGGCGGTGACGGAGGCGGGAGAGGTGACGTTCTCGACGGTGCGGGCGTGGGCGCCGTCGATCGTGTTTGTAGTCCGGGCCCAGAGGGGGGAAAGGCTGCGGTCTCTGTGAAGGATGCCTTCGGGGCCGCGGGTGGAGAAGGCGGAAGTTGGGGCGGAGGAGCAGCGAAGGTCCCAGATCTGGATCTTGCCGTCGCGGTCCGAGGTTGCGACGACGTTGCCATTGGCCTGGCCTGGTTGGAACTGGACGCGGCGCATGGATTGGAAATGTCCGCCGTTGAGTTCCGCGGCGACAGACTGCGTCATGACGTCGAAGATCTTGCCGGAGCGGTCGCCGCAGGCGCTCACGAGGCGAAGGTCGTCGTCGGAGAAGGCGAGGTCCATGATTGCGTTTTCGTGGCCTTGCATGATCATCTCGACCTTCGGTTTGGGGGTCTCTCCTGCTTGGGTAGTCGTGGTGTCGAAGAAGCGAATGAAGCCTTCTTCGTCGCCAATTGCTGTGAGAGGGGCATCTGCAGTGTTTAGCCGAATGAAGTTTGGAGACGGATCCAATGGTACTCACTGTGACAGCTCGCCAGACTGAATGGAATAGTATTCGATTGAGTCAGATGCGCGCTGATCATATGTGTGTCGGTTCCCTTGCTCCAGAAAGAAGCTGTGCTTGCTCTTGAGTCTAGACATGGTCAGTTCATGGCTTTGGAGACAGGCACACAAGGGGCTTCCTTACCAAAAGCGGGATACTCAAGGTGTTGACGACCTGGTCTAGGAGTGCTGCCTTGTTCGCGAAGTAGAAGCTGGGCACCAAAACCACGGTTGCGAAGTTTGATCACCGGCTGTGGTTGGTATTTAGGCTCGGGCTATAAACCGGTCAGTTTTGGTCTCATCAGCAGCAGAAGTATCAAACGTACGGATTCCTCTTTTGCAGGTCTGAGGGGCTTGGAAAGAGAGGCGACGGGCTTGCCCTTGCTCGAGTTCTGAACACCTGCCCGGTTGCACTTAAAATAATCGATCTAGACACAGTTAGTTATTGGCCGCAAGCTGGACCCGAACGTAGAGTACTCACCAGAGTAGACCTCGGCCTCAAACCATCATATCCCACAGACGAGAAATTGCTAGCCGTTAAGGAGCTCAGCTTCCGCGCAAACTCATCTGGTGACGTCTGCGGCCCAGAGGGATATCTCCTCCCGAGAGGCGGCAGCTGGGGAGCTGAGGGAGAGTGAACCTCAGGCGACCCGACCACTTGATCTTCAACATTCTCATTTTGGCCCAAAGGAGACCTTGCCAGCGGGCTCCGTCCCAGAGGCATTCCGTCCTCCTCCTCCAAATCCTCCAGTTGTGTTCTCGACAGTTTCGTCCCCGAGCCGCGGGCCAGCTGTGGCAACTTCATGGGAATTGCATTTACAACACCCCTCTTCCTCTTCTTCTGGCTCTCCTCACTTCCAAAAGGCGACAGAAAGCTCGGGTTCGAGGTTGGCGAGATCGGTCCCGAAACGTCCGGGCTGGATCGGGGAGGGGTCTGCTGGGCATTAATCGCAGGGTCGCCCATCTCGGCGAGGACCGGCCTCGAGCTCTGAGAGGGCATCCCGCCGCGGCCGGCTCGCGGGGTGAAGAACCGCCTGAACTTTCTAGGTGTCACGCTGGGTTTTCGCTTCTCCTTGCGCGAGGCTCGCGGGGGTGGTGACGAGGGGAGCGTCGGCGAGGAGGCCGGGATGAGGCCATCGCTCGGCGGCGGGCTCGCCATGCCGCCGTGATAGACCATGGCGGAAATCGGGGGTTTCGGGGAGTTGGTTGCCTCTTCAGTTGATATATAAAGTAAACAAACAATTGTCACAGAAGAACTTCCAGCTTAAAGCGTTTCGTCGTGGCCGAGATGCGGGAAGATTTCAATTGTGGGATTGAAAGCTGGGGTGGTGAATGGCAGGGCCTGGCGGACAGGGTGGGAGGAGGCGAGCTTCGTGTCTGACGTCTTTTACGTACTAGACTCAACCACCTCGAAGTACTTTGGACGCGATGGCGTCGCGCGCGCGCGACGCGGGTCGGACCCACCTACCCCGGTGGTTTAATTGATTTTTTGAATTCCAGATGCACGGGTCCGGCGCGAAAAAAGTCCAAGCTCCTGCAGGCCGGGATGACCCACATCACATCCATTATCTCCACGTGATCGTTATCGGTCCCTAGAATTTCTCAAAAAAATTGTCTGGGAGGCGGCGGGGCCCATACATGAATCTTCATTGCAGCGAGCGGACGACGGTCGCATATCCTCCTCCACCTCGAGATCCCGTCGTCGCCGCCCTCAGCTCGACAAAATGGCGATTCAGAAGAAGCACGGAAAGGGGCGTTTGGATAAGTGGTACAAGCTTGCCAAGGAGAAGGGGTACCGTGCCAGAGCTGCGTTCAAGCTGATCCAGCTGAACAAGAAGTATGGCTTTTTGGAGAAGAGCAGGGTCGTCGTCGATCTTTGCGCTGCGCCAGGTGTAAGTCCCACGACATAACCTCTTTGTATCATTGTGTTCGTTCTGACAATCAATCGCAGTCGTGGTGTCAAGTCGCAGCCGAAACATGTCCCGTCGGTGCCCTGATCGTCGGTGTCGATCTTTCGCCCATCAAGCCGATTCCCAAGGTCATTACCTTCCAGAGCGATATTACGACCGATAAATGTCGAGCCACGATCCGCCAGCACCTCAAGACATGGAAGGCCGACTGTGTTCTGCACGATGGTGCGCCCAACGTCGGTACCGCCTGGAACCAGGACTCCTTCAACCAGGCCGAGCTGGTGCTGCAGTCCATGAAGCTGGCGACCGAGTTCCTCGCCGAGGGCGGTACCTTCGTGACCAAGGTCTTCCGCTCCAAGGACTACAACCCTCTTCTGTGGGTGTTCAACCAGCTCTTCACAAAGGTCGAGGCCACCAAGCCCCCGTCGTCGAGAAACGTCTCCGCCGAAATCTTCGTCGTCTGCAAGGGCTACAAGGCGCCCAAGCGCATCGACCCGCGGTTCCTCGACCCCCGCGCCGTCTTCGCCGAGCTCAAGGACGCGACGCCCAACAACGAGGCCAAGGTGTACAACCCGGAGACGAAAAAGCGCAAGCGTGACGGTTACGAGGAGGGAGACTGGACGCAGCACAAGGTCGTCACGGCCAGCGAGTTCATCCAGACCACCGACCCGATCGCCATCCTCGGCTCCGCAAACCAGATCTCGTTCGACCAGACCAACAACGGCGACCTCGCGCTGGCGGCCCTGGACAAGCTCCCCGAGACCACGGACGAAATCCGCCGAGACTGCGCCGATTTGAAGGTTCTCGGAAGGAAGGAGTTCAAGACGCTACTCAGATGGCGTCTCAAGGTCCGCGAGATCTTCGGCTTCCCCACCAAGAAGACGGAAAAGGCACAAAAGTCTCTCCAGGAGCAGGTCGCCGGCGAGGAGGTTGCCGAGGTCGAGTCCATGGACGAGGAGCTGCGGATCCAGGAGGAGCTGGAGGCGCTGAAGAACAAGGACGACTCCAAGAAGAAGAAGGAGAGGAGGAAAGAGAACGAGAAGAAGCAGAAGGACATCGTGCGCATGCAGCTCAACATGGTGGCACCCATGGATATCGGTATGGAGCAGCACGGCCCCCTCGGTCCCGACGCCATGTTCGCGCTCAAGACGGTCGACAAGGCCGGCGGCGTGAACAAGATTGCCAAGGGAAGGATGGCGCTCATCAAGGAGAACGAGAAGAAGAAGAAGGAGGCCGAGTCCGGGATCTCGTACGGATCGGAGGACGAAAGCGAAGACGAGGCCGAAGACCGTCTCGAGCGGGAACTGGACGGCATGTACGACCAGTGGAAGGAGCGCAAGGCGGCGGCGGACGCGAAGTGGCGCGCCAAGCGCGCTCGCGAGGAGCACGACGACGACGAGTGGGCGGGCGTCTCTGGCGGTGAGAACAGCGACAGTGATGAGGAGTTCGAGATCGAATCCGGCAGCGACTCGGACTCTGACGAGGATGAAGACGACTCCGGCAAGCCTCTCGTCACTGACTTGGATAACACTCCCGAGGACGGCGACTTGTCCAAGCGCGCGAGGAATTTCTTCAGCCAGGATATCTTCAAGGATATCCCCGGTGTTCTCGACGAGCCTGAAGATGATGACATGGAGGGTATCGAGTACAACAACCAGAGAGCTGAGAATGGCGAAGAGCCCAAGTCTTTGAAGAAGGCTAAGAAGGAGGCCAAGAAGAAGGCCGAGGAGGAGAAGAAGAAGAAGGCCAAGGAAGACAAGAAGAAACCTGCTGCGAAGGACGACGACGAGTCCAGCGAAAGCGAGGACGAGGAAGCCGGCTTCGAAGTGGTCAAGCACAAGGAGGAGGACTGGGAGAACCAGGAGAAGAGACGCGCCGACGGCAGGCTAGGTAAGCTCCCGACTGGCAGTGGAAATGATAACAGCGCTGACCAAAAACCCAGACATCGACATCATCACCGCGGAGGCGATGACGCTCGCGCACCAGCTGGCGACGGGCGAAAAGACCAAGCACGACCTCATCGACGACGGCTTCAACAAGTGGGCGCTCAAGGACCGGGACGGCCTGCCGGACTGGTTCGTCGACGACGAGGGCAAGCACGACCGGCCGCAGAAGCCCATCACCAAGGCGGCGGCGGCGGCGATACGCGAGAAGCTGCGTGCGTACAACGCGCGGCCGATCAAGAAGGTGCGCGAGGCCAAGGCGCGCAAGAAGTTCAAGGCCGCGCAGCGCCTCGAGAAGCTCAAGAAGAAGTCGGACCTGCTCAACAACGAGGAGGGCATGACGGAGAAGGAGAAGGCGGACAGCATCGCCAAGATGATGGCCAAGGCCGGCCGCGTCCAACGCAGGCCCAAGCCCACGCTGGTCATTGCCAGGGGTGAGTACTACCAGTCCCGGTGGTCGGGGATCACTCGACTGTGGTGTGAAGAAGTTTTTGCTAACGTGCCGCGCAGGTCTCAACCGTGGTGTCAAGGGTCGTCCCAAGGGCGTCAAGGGCCGTTACACTATTGTGGACTCGAGAATGAAGAAGGACCTGAGGGCGCAGAAGAGGCTAGCCAAGAAGAAGAAATAGACGGTGTCGCGGTCGTTGTTTTGACGTTGATCATACCCTGGATCTTAGACGGCGTAGAAAATGATAGAATCTGTAATAATCCAAAAAGCAAGCATGATACAGGAAGAATGTTATCTGCACGTGGAGATTCAATTGATGTGTCTGACTATCTGGTATTCATTCACACCCACGGCAGGCGGCACTGGTACGGGGTTCGCATGTCTGTGTGATAGTCTGAGTCGTTCCCACGCCCCCGGAATGGATACGATTTGCCGTGTTCATATGTATGTGTAGGTCTCAGTCAAGCCATCTGCCGGGTTGACTCACCAGCAGGTGCATGGAAAGCGAGGATTGTCATGTAATGAACATTATCATAAGTTTTGAAACTAAATATCGTCCCGCGCGCCCTGAAAAGCGAACCTCTATCAGCGGAGGAAGGGAATCATATATGAAGGACAAATGCCGCCGTAAACAAAAAAATACAACAACAAAACCATAGGCCCCCGTGCCTGACACCGAGGTTCGTACTCTACAGCATCCCAAGAAGATGGATGGACGACGCGCAGAAACAAACGCAACCCCCCGGTGTTTTTTCCGGGAACTTTTGACCCCTTGTAGAGGTGTTTCCCCTGCATCTTGACATCGTACAAGTGTTTCGTGTTTGCCGTCGTGCTGAAAGAACCGAAGAACGCCGTTGCTATCCCGAGAGCAAGCCGTAAATGCAAAGATATCTCATTGTCGTGTGATTACATCGTATCGTGCGCATATCCAATCCTCGGCCGTCTTGCGCGCGGGCCGTTTAGTCGTCTTCCTGCTTGATCTTGGGTCCATGATCAGGGGCTCGCGGTCCCAGCATCCAGTCCTGCATGGCCAACCATTCACTCCAGCTAGCCTCGGCAGCTTCGATCTCTTTCTCGGTGACGTTCTGCAGAGGCCTGAGAAAGGGGACTTGCTGCTCGCCATCCATGTCGTAATGCGTCTTGACCTTGAGCCAAGTCTCACTCTTGGCCGCGAACATGTAGTTGCGACGCTCGGCTTCGTGCATGGGCCCAATGCCGGCCACCCAGTCGTCTCCGAAGAAGCCGTGTAACACGGATGGTAAGTCAAAGCCGGTAGCTACCAGCCGGCGAATGTACGGCGTCAGAGTCGTGTAGGTGGCGGATGGCAACTGGGCGCCCAGCGGTAACTTTCCAGCGGCTCGGGCGGTGGACGGAGTTGAAGGGCCGGCCCCGGCAGGGGACGAGGGGCCGGTGGGCTTCGAGGACAGTACGGGGTTCTGTGCCTTTTGAAAAGGCAGCTGGATGTTGACAAAGGCAGCTACGGCCTGGATGGGCCCGGTGTACTGAGCATGATCCAGAAAGTATCGAAGGCATGACTGAAACTTTGGGTACCACTCAAAGATGTCGAATTGAGCATCTTGGAAGGGCTGCAAAGGAGGCCCGTTCAGCTGCGAAGGATGCGGAGGGCCGGTGAAAGAATGGCCTACCTGTGCATACTGAAATGACTGAAATGCAGAGCCAGCGGAGGAGCCGCTGGAGTGGTGGTAGGCCATGAGTCCTCAACAGGAGGAGATTGCTTCGGAGAAAAAGTGAAAACGAGAGTGGGCGGTTCCAATCCTGATCGACTCGTCAGGTCGGGAGTGCGTCGGCAGTATTAGCAGAAGGTCGAACGGGTGAGCGGGAGGAGACGAGTCGGCGACGAGTTCGACGGGGTGGATCGGAACGTCGGATTGACGCAGAGTGGAAAAGACAGCAAGGCAGCCGGATCATGCAACCTCATGGGTGTCAGTGTCTAATAACACAATATCCGACGAGGTTGCAAGTCAGTTGCGATGTGCGTCTCCTGGTGAGTTGTCGGCTGGGAGTTGACAGAAAAGTTGAGAGAAGTGTGGTTGGCGGTACAGATCTGACGCTGATCAGGCAAAGACGACATGCAGACAAGGAGGAGAAGGAAGAGCAGGACCACATGCGGAGACCGACCTGCATGGAGATGGAGTCGGAGAAGCAAACACGGCAGCCAACTGAGTAAGGGTACAGTACCTGACGGATACTCGAACCCAGGCCTGTTTTCGGGGGGGTGGTCGGCAAAGGACGTGGGCGGGAGGTGACAGGCAACGGCAACGGCGACGGCGACGAGCAAGGAGAGAGACGTTAGGTTCGAGACGGGATACTGACGGGATGTCCGCCAGGTTTAATATACTCTGGACCGACATGCACATGTACATGTGTCCATGTATGATTTTATGTATGTGTAAATGGTCCCTTGTTTTTTTCTTCCTCCTTGACGTTTGTAAGGAAGGGGAAGGGGAGAAAAAATAAAAAATAAAAAAAGGGACGGGGCAAGCACCCCCCCAATGGGACAGGTACTTGATAGGAAAAGAAGGGGGAGGAAAATGGGAGGAGAGAGAAGCGGAATGAGAGGTCGGAAGGTACTTCGTACATGCTCAACTGCAGCAGGGGCAGAACCGAGAAGGGTACCTACATCAGAAAAAAAAAAAAAGTGACATGGTCACCACCGCACCGCTCCTTGGGTCGAGATCGCGTCTGCACCCACGGCACGCCAATCCGGCGAGGGAAGAGGGCAGAAGACACACACGCACACATGCACACCAGTTGAAAATTAAGTCAGTGGTTGATGTGTGTGTGTGTGTGTGTGTGCTCGTGCCTGTGTACCGCTACCTGCTCCCGTCCACCTTCCACTCGGTCTGTGGGTGCGTGATCCAGGTTGGACATGTACAAAATAGACAGACGTGCGGTCGGTCGTAACGACGTTGAGCAGAGCAGCTCAGGTGGATAGTCAGAGTCAGAATCCAAAGGAGGACCAGCTGTATCAGTATCAGCCAAGGCACGGTACGCCAGTCGGTAGCCTGGCAGGTAAGTTTGAGATAGCGCGTCGCCATCCCGTTGATAGTGTTGCTATATAAGTCAAAAGTGGCTAAAGTGAGGTGGGAGGTTAAGGTAGGTTAGGTTAGCTGGCGCAGGTAAGGCTTCACGGATTCAGTCCACCAAATGTGTGTGCGATGGTGCGATAGTGCGATGGGTGCTGAGATGGAGGTGTGTGAGGTGAACCATGGATCGGAGGGCTGGAGTCATGATGAGAGAGGCGTGTGGGTAAGGTATCTGGGGGTGACGACTCGGTGACTGGCGATTGCCAAGAACGCCGACGCCGCCGCCTTTCTCAGGGTCTTGATGCTTCGTGAGAGTGTGCAGATAGTATTTGCGCCGGCCTGTCCGTTGACGACGTCGGATGAGATGCTTGGTACGGAAGAGTGGAGGTGGAGCACTCCATGATGAACGTGAGATGGCGGGTGAGTGTAAGATAGTGGAGATGGAGAAGCTCACAATGAGAGACAAGGCGATGGATGGTCTTGACGAGAATGAGATGGCAGGGCATTCGGCCGGCAGGTAGGTATCATGAGATCCGTCATGTTGGGAAGGGGTTGCTCTCTCATCTCATGTTTCGGGGGTCTCGATTAGCGCCGCCTTTCTAGTTTTCCGGGCTGCCAGCACCTGGTCAACAAACATCCGTCTCAACTTCGAGGATATGGATGAGATGAGATGGGATGGGATGAGCACAGGCAAGCGCCCAGTGCACGCGGTGGGCACAAGTTGGCCCAGGCTCATCGTGTCCGTCCGTGGCTGCATCTGCGTGACAGAGTCCGATGGGACTGGCACTGGCACTGGCACTGGCCCGGACTGGGGGCCCGGGGACAGGGAAAGGGAGATCGCAAGTCCATGTCGTTCGTAGATGCCGTGCGCCGCGGTGCGGTGCGGTGCGGTGCGGGTGTGGTGTGTGGTGCAGGGACGTGGACGCGGTGATAGTCGGAGCCAACGCCGGGGAAGAGGTCATTGGCCAGATTCAAACGGAATTCAAAAGTGTCGTCTCCGCAAAGTGAAGCACGGGAAAGACTACAGAGTAACCTGGCCGGGTTACGAGTACTAGGTAAGGTAGGTATGCATGCACCTCATCGTGTAAGGTATTCGTAGATTTGAATCTGAGCAACGAGATGAGATGACCTGAGGTTCAGCCGGTCAGCTTCCCAATCCGTAAGCACCTAACCATTCGGCCGGGTTTGTGGCGGTCGAAAGGCGCTGCAAGAGGAGGATCAAAATGACCTAGCCGGGGCTGTACTTCATTCAGTAAGTGAGGTGTGAGGTGACGCCCTGGAGGAAGAGAAGGAAGAGGATGATGAGGAATGTACAGAGTACCTAACCACCTTGAATGCCAAGGCAGGCGTAGGGCAGGTAAGGTACATACGATGGATCAGGACGGGGCGTGTAACAATTGGAAAAGGGCAACACCGGGCACATCTCTCTCACTCTCACTATCATCGACACCTCATCCATTTCATTCCGTCCCTCTCGGTCTGGGAAGGTCCAGGTCCAGGTCCAAGTGGCAGTGAGGGAGACACCTGCCAGTCCCTGCCCGCCATCATAAACACCCCTGCCTGCCACCTGGACAATTCTTGGGCTGCAATAGAGAAAAGGAAGAAAAAAGAAAAGAAATCTGCAGGAAAATCGAGACAGGTCCAATGTCAGTGGCCAACTCATGCAGCATCGTGGACCGTCAAGGATCATCATCGTCAGCATTGTCCCTACTTGCTTGCGTGTTACCCGACTGCTACCTCTGGGCGAGCCTCCGACTCCGAATACCTAGACGCTCCCTGCTACCTCCCTCTTTCACGAGCACGAGTCTCGACAGTCTCTCCCTCCTGACTGTCATGACTGACGAAGCACTCATCATCGATATATCGGATTTCGACGGTCGACCGCCGGTTGGGCCGGATATTGCCAACTCCCCCATTGACGCCCACCCTGTAACCGTAAACCAGACAGCCTGGTCCCATTCCCATCTCATGTCGCTCGTGGGCTTTCTATCTCCTCGCCTTCCTTCAGCCGTTGCCATCATCTTCCCTACCTTGCTCCGCGATAAACCTCAGGTATCGCTGCGTCTGTTCTGGCCAGCACCATGACCCGAGTAAATCTCGGTTCGCTCGCCTACATTTCGCCTCCACGACCAATTTGCGAATACCCAACCTCTCAAACTCGCAAAGCATCATGTTTGTTTTTTTGCTTCACCCAGCCGCCGACTGATGGTGAGGGGACATCTCGACGTCTCCGTATTAGTGACCGGAGTGGCAACCGACCATGGTCAACAAGTCATGGCCACCACTCACAACGACGGCAACACGGAGCAGCCAATATGCACATACTTGGCGCACGATGTGGTTGTCGGCGGTTGCCTCCCTTTCTCCGTGCCTCTCTCCGCGCCTCCCGAGCTTGCGACAGTGTCAAGTGTTGAGCGGTAATGCCATCGCCATGGGCTGGCCTCTTGCTTGCTTTTTCCTTGGTGCTCCCATCAATTACTTTAGCCTTGATGGGGCAGCCCACCCGTGTCTCCCCTCCGAGGTGGACTCGACTTGTCATATTCTCTCACATCTCGAGTTTCTGGACGATGCCTTACGGCCAGGTGACGAGATTACTCTGATCAACACGACCATCATCATATCCTGTGAGGCATCCGGGCGCACAAGGAACGGACGGAGATGGGCTCTAATCGGCGAAATCGCCTTATGACCTGCATACGCGGCATTCGTTAATCTTGTAATACGCAGATTCGGTTCTTCTGGGGGCTGGAGGTCGGGATGATGCCTTCCCTCGGAATCAAATTGGTTCAGATCAGGCAGGTGAAAATTTGAGAAGGGGGTCTTCAAGTCGCTTGCACCATCGACAGTCCCGACATCTACTCCGTAGCCGTGGTAGATGTATCATGTATCCGTAAGGTTGGTGAGGTAGGTACAATGAAGAAGGTACCGAAAATGGCAGCCCGTTCAAGATAGGTTCGGGGGTAAAGCCGGTAGGGCAGGGGTGTTACTGCGTAGGTACCTTAGTTCCTTGATACCGGGGTCTGGATCCCGATTACATAAGCCAACCAAGACCTAATTCGTAGCCACCAGACGGGCAGTCTATCGCGACTGACCTGGAGGCTCTTCACTCACCATGTTGCCATTCCACAACAATTCATCATCTCACGAATCACGGCTTGCGCTCGCCTGCGAAAACCACGCAACCTGCACTGTTCAATGCATCTGGCCCGGTCGACATCAGTAACGCTTTGCTTTGGGAAGCATCACGAGCTGATAAATCTCGCCTACAGATCGTGTGTGACACAGCATCAAATTCCTCCAATACTTCCTCCAGTGGTTTTCTTTCGCCGCATCCATCAACGGAGAACGCCGGCCACATATGCAGCCGGAAGAGGAGGGTTTGAGGAAGCCCTTCTGCAGGGATCGAGCCGCCCTGCTACCTACCACCCTACCTAGCTGGTCCTGTTCGTGTTCTTGTTCTGGTTCCGGCCGAGACTGGGCAGACCAGGACCACCTTCGACTACCAACCTTCGTCGACTACCGGGCAATAGTTGTCTCTTGCTCCTGTGCCTCTCTGCCTCCCCGTGGCAAAGGAACGGTCACACTACGCCTAGTTGACTCTCGTGGCCGTCGCTCTAGTGCCTCTTCCTGGAGCTCTGAATTCTCAAATGGAACCAAGCGGCTAT